GTTGGCCCAAAAGGGAAAATAATCAGTTTCTGAAAGGACTGAAACTAGATAGGAGAATTCCCACTGGTCTCATCCTTGGCTTTGCAGACGAACACACAGAGCTTTTCTTCGTCAGCTTTTACACAAATCTCTCAATTTTGCCAAAGGAGAAAGGGATTTAAATAGGAGGTCAGGAAGTCTTTGCCTGCTGAGAAACACCCCTGCCTGGTGCTGCCCTAAGACAGAGCCCTGGGTTGCCAGTGACTCTGCAGCTCAGTCTAGACCTTGTGCTTCCAAAGGTGCTGTGCCCCGGAGCCCAGGGAAAGGGGTTTCAGAGGGCAGGAGAGAAGAGAGGCCAAGTATGGCCAGTCCAACCTGCCCTGGGAGTGCAGCCAGCAGAGCTCACTGAGGATTAGAGGAGAGACGCTGTCCTTACCGAGATTTTGCCTGTTCTGATTTCTCATCTACTGTTTGCCGACGGTCCTTCATAAAGTACTATTTCTTCCAGAACAATTGTTCAAGTCTTGCTCTTCTTTGCCTTTCTCTATTTTTATCCTTCTGACAGCTTTTCCTGACATTTCCTTCTTCATTTCTTAATGAGATTCAAAGAATTCTGGGAGGAGAAGAAAATAAAAGTCCCACTCTTCCTGAACTCCAATAACCTCGCCTGAAGTTTGAATTGCCCTTAAGCCTTTGGTGCTGAAACCCGTTTCTCCACTTCTGCATGGAACAGGATCTCTGCAGCTTGGCCCCTGGAATTCCAACCCATCGCCTCTCCCTCCCCATCTAGAAGCACCCCTCCCCAAGTGTGGCTCTAGCAGAGCCTCTGTGTAGTAAGATTTTGTCAGTAATGAGCCTTGGTAATTCCACCCTTCCCTAGAAAATGGGAGGGGGACCTACTGTCCTTTCTGATGGCTATTTGGGCATCTCAGGGTGAGAGGTTCTAAGGACGCCAATCCTTAGAACGGTTTGGGAGGGGCTCAAAAATTCTTGAATTACCTATGACTTTCCCTGCATCGTGACTCATGTTGTACCCAGGCCCCTACTGTGCATTCACCCAAGAAAAACACTGAAGATGTCAGGAAGGAGGGAGGGAACTTGTAGACATCCACAATATTCCATGTATTTTACACATTATCTTATTTAATCCCCCAGTAGTCTTTCTGGTGGCAATTATGATCCCCATTTTACAGATGAGGGAACTGAGGCACAGAGCCATTCAATAACCTGTGTAAGGTCATAAAGGGAGCAAGTGGCTGGGGTTGGATTTGAACTCACAGCCTTATCTTAAAAATCACCATTTTCTAACTAAACTTTAGCTGCCTTTCTTGAGGTTTTTGCCACTCCTTTTTGAGGACTTAGGAAGGAAGAAGCGGTTTGGACTAGACTCCTGGAAAACAGCAGTCATCTCATGATGAAGCAATCAGTCTGGAAGCCCAAGGGGGCGGGACTGAGGAGGCGGGTGACGGCGAGCTGCGACGGGCAAACTACTGGAGTTGAAGACCAGACATCACACAGGAGGCTGGGGTTCTGGTTGTTGGGAAGGAAGGATGGCTCCACCAGACTGCCTGTTCCCCTCACCCTTTTCCCCGGGCTTCATGGCAAAAATCACATTTACATGTGGCTTGCTCCTTTCCCTTCTGATAAACACAGCATCCATGAGGTTATTTATGGTTTTCTCAATTAATTCTCTCACCTGTGACCTAAGTGGTGAGTATATCTTCGCGTACTCATCCCCAGCCCCTCCCTGTGGTTTCTGAACACCTCCTTTGGCCCCACCAGGAATGAGGGCGTGCTGACCTGGTCTGTGGCATTTGGAGACTCTCCTTTAACTTTGACAAATTCTGTTTACCAAACTTCTGCCCATGGGCAATAAAGTACATTAAGTCAGAGACTTTGCATGGAGCCGAGCTCCATTCCAGATCCCACCACTTTCTACTTGGGTAGCTGGGGACCATAATTAACCCCTTGGTACCCCGCGCTGCCTCACTTATTAAAATGGAATAAGAATTCCCCTTCATGGGTTGTAGGGAAGACTCAAAGGTGTGCAGCCCCAGGTATCTATAAGTGCTCAGTGAACAGTAACTTTTACGGCTATTACTGAGCTGGGCCTTCTGTCCTGCATTAGAGACACAAAACCCAAATCCAGCCCTCAAGACACCATCTCGTGGAAGAGGCAGGACCACGGGCAAATGCATGAAATGGCAGAGAAGACCTCCATCAATGACACGTGGACAAGGTGAAGAGGTGGCCCTGAGAGGAGAGAACAGGCCCCACCCGGGCCGGGGTGGAGTGAGCCAGCTTCCTGGAGGTCATGATCAAAACTGTGGGTGGTGCCCCAGCTCTGGTTAATCTGCAGCCACAGCTGGAATTGCCAAGATTTCACCAAGGGAATCTAGCTCGTTTGCTTTCTGGACTGCTTACTCTTCAGCCCTGCTTTAAAAGCAAAAACCATTTCTGTTAAAATCAAAGGGCTTCCCTCACCAGAGCCTTGGATTTTGAACTATTCTGGTTCTAAGTACCCTAAGTTAACAGCAATGCACATTTGAAAGCTACTTAGAGTTCAGAAAACTGGAGAGGATGGTGAAGAGAGAAATAAAGTACTTACCAGCGCGTATGTGGGAGATGAATTAATATTCAGATAGGCAGTAATATTTTTGAGGACCTGATATATGCCAGCCATTGTCATGTACTTATTACCTCATTTAATCCTCTTAGCGACTCTGTGAGGGTTTTATTGTCCCTTTTTTATGGATGAGAAAACTAAGACTCAAAGTATGTGAGATGTGTGAGCAGGGTTGCACAGTTACGTGGTAGTCAGTATTAAAACTCAGATTTGTCTCTTTCCAGAGCTCATGCTCTCTTTACTGTTTTGGCCCTCTCCCAAACTGTATTGACACAGGGTCCCGCTCCTTCCTTTCCCAATAAAGGGCATTTATAGAGTTGTTCATGGTTTTCTAAATTAACACTATTGCCAGCAAGGCCAAAATCGTGTTTGTATCTTAGACATGAACATGAGAGGTGCCCTTGAACACAAGAATCTTTCAACACACCTGTCATAGGCTGATTGTATTAACGGCCCTGATCATTGGGCCCCTTGTAGCTACACTTTTTGCAATATGACTTTGCAGCTCCTTCCGTTAAGAGGCAGAATCTGTTTCCCAGCCTTCAAATCTGGGCTGCTCCTGTGCCTTGCTTTGGCCAGTGGTATGTGGTGTTATGCTGAGTGCAGCTGTGGGCCTCTGCCCCATAAAGGGCTGTGGGCGTCTCCTCTCACCTGGCACCTTGCCTGGACTGGGCACTTGCGGGCAGGTGGGGGTCACATAGAAAGAGACTCCGGTCCTCCCAGCCAGCCCAGATAAAGCCATTGTAGTTCTAAGTAATATTCTTAATTTATTTCTTGGATGATTTCTTTATTTTCTCTGTGTTCTGTTTGCAACTCCTATTCTTTGCATCTTAGATTTCCTAGAATTTTATCTGCTTTTCTTATCTTTTCTCCTCTGTTTCCATTGCTTTGTCTTTGCTTGGTTTCCTGGGATATTTCTTCAAGTTTATTTTCCAATCTTTCCACCGAGGTTATTTTCTTAATTTGTGCTTTTGTGTTTAAATTTTAAAAAGCTTCCTTTTTAGGTGTTTGCTGAATGTTCCTTTTTACACTAGTATTGTGTTCTTTCATGAGTAGACACTTATCTCCTCTTTTCTTCCTGAGATTATTAATGCTTTTTGGTAGTTTTAAAAAATATTTTATTCCTTTTTCATTTATTTATTATTGTATTATTTAATTATTTTTTTTATTTGGGTGGGGGTGGGTAATTAGGTCTGTTTATTTTTAGAGGATGTACTGGGGATTGAACCCAGGACCTTATGCATGTTAAGCATGCACTGTACCACTTGAGCTATACCCTCCCTTTTATTAATGATTTTTTTTAAAAGTTTTATTCTCCATGAATTATCTCTGCTCATCATGTGTTAAGAGTGAGTCACAGAAAGCTGAGAGCCCTGTGTGCCTGGCGGGGCTTGAGACCTTCAATGTAGATTGCTTGCTGAGCCACTTCCTTGGAGAACTATCTGGGTAGTATCTTTTAGGTTTGCTCTGAAGCTTATCAGAGTCCCCAGGAAGACTAAGCTTCTGCCTGGAGCCTATATGCTTGGCTGCCAGCGTTCTGGGAGCCAAGCCGCGGAAAAGTCTAGGGAAACTCAACATTCCTTATGTATGGTTTCACTTTTCAGTGTAACATTTGTAATGTCAACTGGGTATGCTTTGTTGCCCCCCATTCAGAGACTCTCTCTTCTGTCCTCTGCAGAGAATTAACTTCAAGTCTTGCACTGGGTTTGGGAAAGAACAGTCAATCATGTACTTACAGTGGGGAAGAAGATCTGGGGGTCTGACTGCATCTTAAATAGACTTTAAACCCATCCTGATTTTAGCCCTGCCTTCTCCATCCCATCCGGAGGTAGCTAATGGTACTAATTCCTATGCCTTTGGGGCTTCTGCTACACTAACCTGGTTACTTCTCAGCTTTCCCCACTGCTGGCTTGGGATTCAGGTCTTCCAAATTTTTCAGTCAGTTACCAATGAACCATCACTTTCTAGCTTCCAATTTTTGTTGTTCTTGTTTCTTTCTCCATTCTCTTTGACCCTATTGGTTTATGCCTTTTTTGTGATATCTCATTGTCTTTTTAGGGGCTTGCATGAGGGAATGAAGGTGAGTATGTTCACTATCCTCTCTTTAACTAGGTCAGGGGTAGTTCTTGGCTTTTAAAAAATGAACACTTCATGGTATCTTATTTAATCTGAAACACATGGACCACACACCTCCTATGGAAAATTAAACTTTCTCCAAAAGAAGACTCTCAAGTAATAGAAATTCATGTAATTTTTCCTTTTAGACAGAAATGAGTGTGAAACTTCAGCCACCTCATACACCTTTAGCCTTGTGCGTCTTAATTACTCGGACAGCCCTATCATCACAGGTCTGCCTCCCCACACCGCCCACCCCTTTAAGTCAAAGACTCCTGAGTCCGTTTTCTTTAGCCTTTTAATATGTTCCAATAAGAGCTTTCAACAGGGTAGAATACATATCATGCTTCCCTCATTATTACCAGTCCATTAAAAAATATACCAAAATCAGAGGAAGGGTGTGCTGAGAAAACTCAAAGTAACAATGGTCATCATCCATTCCTGAACAATGACTATTCTTTGAAAATTTAACCCAAGTGATTTACAAAAAGGCATATCTATGACACAAGAGTGAACATCGTTCTTAAGCACATCTTACTCTTCTAGAGAAGTTGGAGAGTCCTTTCTCCCATTTCTCTGCTCTACCAGAATTGAATGATTCTTTGGCTAGGAAATCAATTCTTGGTGCCAGTTTCAATGGAAACCTTCTGAGAGGTTCTGCTGGAGAACTCTATTCTGCCAGGCTAGACTCTGAAAAATACGGATATGAAGATATCTTTTGCCCCATTTTTTTTCACCCAGTGCTAATTTACAATGAGACACAGAAGATTTGCAGTTCTAGGAAAAATTACACCTTAAGCTCTCAGCTTTGCTCTCTTAAGCTTTGCAAAATAATAAAATGCTGGCCTCTTTCTTTTATAAACAATTTAGTGACTTGCCCAGGCCACCTGGCAAGTCACTGGTAGGAGTGACGTGCAGTCAAGTTGTGCTTCCGGAGTTTCGCCGTTATTTCAAATGGCAGAGAACATATCCTATTCCATGAGGACAGGGAATAGTGCAGGGGTACAGACCTCCCCGAGTCCTACCTTGGGAACACAGAGGTATATCCAAGTGAGGGGCTACAATAATAATAAAAGAAAAGGCCATATTTAATTCCAAAATAAAACAGGAAATAACCTCCCATGTCAGCCTATGTGATAGGACTGTCTAGAGGGGGTGGAAAACCAACCCTAACCGTGAGACTTGAATGACCCTCCACGGCCCCATAGAGAAGCTGGCATAGAACCTGGCATGGCCCTCCTGAACCTGACCCTGGAGTGGCGGGCTGCGCTGGGGCGAAGAGCCTGCGTGAGCGTGTCTGGGTCTGCAGCAGACCCAGGAGAGCTCTTGGAAAGCAGGGAGCGACTTGGACACCAGTGGCAGCATAACTGCGTAGGCTGGTGTGCCCGTTTTCTTTTCATTCAACTTGAAAATAAAATGGACACCAGACAGCTGAACATGGAGCTGGCCAGTGGTGTTCACAGAAGAGAAAGGTTTTCAAAGACCATGATGGGGGGGGGGCTTGTGAGGGTGGACAGGGGAGAGCAAAGGTCGGGAATGGGCAAAAAGCCAGCATCTCTCCTTTAAATATATCCTTCAGAATCAGCTCTTGGTGTAAGCCTGGCTCTGATGTATGTGGGACCTTTTCCTTCTTATCTTCCTCCTCCTCCTCCCCCATAGTTGGTCTGAGAAACAGTGCCAGTTAAGTTTGTCAGTTTAAGCAACAGATTACTTTTTATGGGGGCCCAAAAAAGAAGGTCCCGTTTTATAGGAGTCCTTACTTTCCAGATTCAATTTCTTCTGTTACAAGTAGCCTCTGGAAGGTTCAGGACCAAGGGAGCCTCCTGAATTTATAAATAAAGACACAAAGGATTTGCCAAGCAAGGGATAAAGCCATTATTCTCTTAACTGGCCATAAACCTACCCATCTGGTGATAAGATTCCAGTGGTGGGAAAGAAGCCCTGTAACCTTTTGAGGGACTCTCCAGGCACTTAACCCTGAGTAGCAATTGCATGCGGGACAGACCACTGGCTTGGTAAAATACAAACGAACAGAGTCATAAAAATACTCCAACAGGATCTACAATGCTCCCTCCCCCTCTTCTCCAACCTGTGCCAATCAGTGGGCTACTGTCTGTGTTCCTTCATTTCCACTGGCTTCTCCTTTTATTACAGAAGGTCAGAAGGCACTTCCATGTTGGTTTTGGACATCACTAACAGGGGCAGCGTCTAGGACATGGGACGCCGCAAATGGTAGGTCATGCAAATGTAATGTGACTTTGTTCAGAGTCTTTCAGGGGAAAAAATCGATAGCCATGAAAACATAACAGCACCTGAAGCTCCTCCTCTCACAACTCTGGTTCTAAGTCAGGACTAGAAAGCCTTCGGAGCCTCAGCAAACAGCATTGTCTCCTTTCTATGAGATTCAGTTGAGTGCGCCTGAGTCGGGGCTTAGCGGCTTAGAGGTGACAACCTTCAAGGAGAACCTCCTCACATCTTCCTGATGAGCTGGTGGGACCCACACCTGGCTGATTTAAAAACTGAAGGAATACAGCACAAATGGCGAAGGTGGAAGAAGTACAGGTATTTATTATGAATCAGCGTAAACCCTTTATGCCTCTGACAAAGTATCAACAAAGGCATAATCCTCAAAGGACCTCCAGGGTTTAATATTTCAAAAACACAGATAAATAGCTTACTACAGATAAATAGCTTCACCCTTTGGGTATTTCCCAGAAGCATTTGAAAAATTTCCAGGGGGTCTGTAGCAGGTGATGTGTAACCAGTACACCCCCGTTCCCGGCCCCACGGGAGAGAAATGCCCAGGGGTTGGGCGCTGGAAGGGCAGCGTGGACCCCATTCAAGCTCCCTCCCAGGGACCCATCCCTCCTAGCCCTGGGGGACATCCTTAGCAGGCGGCTGTTACCTGGGAGGTGGGGTGGAGGGAAGGCTGGGGTCAGGAAGATGGGTTTCTAGCTTTTGCCAGAAGCTGTCAGCCCATACCCCAGGAGGTGAGAGGCTTCTAGGTGGGAACTGGAACTGTCAAATTTGTGCCAATAATTAATAGGGCCCTCATTTCAGAAAGCAATGCTGTTTTTTAGAAATTGGACCTAACTTTTAAAAACACACAGACACACACACACACACACACACACACACACACAGACACACACACACACACAACACAACACACACACACACACACACACACACACACACACAGACACACACACACACACACACCGATACACACCCCCCCCCAAAAGGAATAGAAAATTTTATGCTAAAAAAGATCCCCAATGAAACAATCAGTAGCACACTGCATCTGTGAAGTGTCCCAGCTCCCTGTAACGGTTAGGTCTCCGACGATGGTTTCTTTCAAAGGTCATGGAGTCGGTGTTACACCCCAATCTTCATGTCCACGTTCTGCAGGTTCCGCGTCTCGTCGGCTGTCATAAACTGGTCTGTGGTCTCTGACGACTCCTTGTTCACCAAGTGCACCATCTCCTGAGACTTGCTAGCTTCTCCGTTGAGTCCACTTGACTTTCTCTCCTCCATAGCTCCATTGCCATTGTTAATCACCAGTTTTTTCTTCTGCCCACACCTAATCATTTATAAAAATCAGATGAGAAATGGGTGCAATGATTCAATTATCACGGTCATTGTCACTGCCACGATCACCACAGTTTATGACGGTCTGAGTATGTTTCATCTTACCGACTCTGAACAATCAGCACTTCTCAAAGCAAGACCCCTGAGGCAGCAGCAAAAGCAGCACCTGTAAACTTGTCACAAATGTAATTTCTCAGCCCCCATCTCAGGCACACTGAATCAGAAAACTCGAAGCAGTAGGGCCCAGGATCTGCGGTTTAGCAAACACTCAAGAGCTTTCTGATGCGCACTTGAGTTTGAGAATTACGACTCTGGGAAGCCAGTGTTATTATTATCCCCCTATTACAGCTGAAGGAATCTTGGGGCTCAGAAAATTCTGCAACTTGCTCCAGGTTACTCTATAAGTAATAAAAGAACTGAGATTCAAACCCTGGTGTGTCTGACTCTCAAGTTCTAACTCTCCTACCATATGATGCAATGGAAATGTCTGTCTCTCTCAAGCTCTCTAGCAGTGCCTGCAGACTCAGATAAGCCATTAACATGACGGCTATCAATCATTCTGATTTGTGTACTCAGGAAAGCCCCATGACTTCCTCTCCCAGTCAACACTTCGATGGCCTTGTCAGGGCTATGCCTGCAAGTACGGGGAAGAATGAAACAATAGTTCTCTGGAAGTGTGACTCCATACTGATTTTTCCCTTAACATTGGTTAACTGCCGTACAACCCTGGGTCTGGAGGTTTGACTACCTAAGGCAAGTCGTTCGCTGTTACTTTAAGAATTCTCAGTAACGTTACTTAAGATTCAAAAGCAGGTCTTCCATGGAAGAGCATGACCTTGATCTTGTCCCTGGGTCACAGCATTGCCTTACCCCACCCAGCCTGATGTAATCCTTCCTCTTTCCTGTAACATGATCACTGCCACATGTCTAGTAAGTCAGATGTTGCTTAAACGAAAGCAAAGTTGCAGAACTTCACAACCAGAAGTGGGGTGGGGATGAGGGGAAACAGGACAGTATTTATGGGACACCTCCTGCATGCCAGACACTTTACATGTAATTTCATGTAATCCTCACAATAATCTCATAAAGCAGCTATTATTCCCATTATACAGCAGTGGAGACTGAGGCCCAGGGAGGTTTAGTAACTAGCCAGAGGCCACACAGCTAGTAAGACAGACAGAGTCAATATTCAAATCTAGGCTTTTATGACCAAAAGCCTGGGCTCTGCCCAGCTCTATGCATGCTGCTAGCCATCTGGAGATGTGGAAAGAGGATGAAGGCAGAACTGTTCCCTTTGCCGCTGGATATTTGGAGTTGTACAGACAAAGCTTCTATTATTCATGATCGTGGGCCATTCCCTCCAGGACTGCCAAGGCCATAAACTTTAATCACTTGTTTGGGGAAGCAGAAATTATACCTCCTGAACAGGAGGTAGATCCTGTCTCCCCTGGCATGATGCGTGGTGAGGGGTGGAGGGTGGGATGCTTGACCTGGGCTGGTCTGTGGGGCTGGGAATATGGGTGCAGTCCACATAGACAGGAGCGAGGGCTTGGACGGCCTGGTGTGGGGACCTTGCCGCTGTGTCACCTGGGGCAACTCACTTAACTTCTCTGAGCCTCAGCTTTCTGATCTGTGACACCAAGCTATTAAGAGTACCAGTCTCACAGGATTGTGAAAATCCCCTGAAACAGAGCCTGGCACTGGATACATGGGTGTGCTGCAATTTTATTTGTTGCTGTTATGAACCATGTGGGGTGAGGAAACCAGGGCCTTGGATAAACACTTAGAATAGTATCCGGAACTCAGTAAAAGTTCAGGAAACCCTCACTATCATTGTTAGTACAACCAGAGCCGTGTGAAATGGATTTGGCTCGTTTCATCTGGCTACCTCCACCCACCTTGTTATATTTACTATGAAGATGATGTAAAAAGCCAAAGGTGGAAGGCTGCTTGTGGTTTTTCAAATTCTCAGTGGGTATCCCAGGTGTTCTTTGGAGCAAAGGTGTCTTATTAAAGTCATTGCCATTTGCCTACCTCGTGGGTGCTTGAGAAGTTGGATGAACTATTGCAGGAAAGTGATTTATAATCATAAAAAAATGTGTGTGCGTGGAGGTGAGTCGGGGGGATTCACGGTATTTCCCCCAAACGAAGCTGACTTTGACCTGCAGGGCTTAGCAGTGTGCGCTTGGGTTTTGTCCTGCCCCAGTTTCTCTTTGGATTTAGGTGTGTGTCTGTTTTCTGTCTGAGTTCTTTTAGGAGGGAAGGGTGATTCTCATAAATAACTCAGCTCAATATCTGATGCTCTGGGCATTTAATAAGTACTTAAAAAAAACAAGTTCTAATTTCTTCATTCTTATTAGTCACAGGAATTTTAGAAGGAACCTGAGAGTCAGGTTCGTCAGAGGGTCCCCACCTCTTCTCTGAGTCCAAGAGGTCAAGCACGTCATCCGAAGCGACACTGCTGGTGACGGCAATAACGACATAGTATCTGCGACTTAGACGTTCTGACTCTGAAGACTCTACTGAGCTGCATCTTGCCTGTTACCTCCCTTCCTCTTCAATCTCAGGCATTAGCTGAAGATGCAGTGACCACATGACGTGGAAGATGCCCGAGTTAAGTCTGGCCAGGAGAGGGTGGGCAGGCTGGGCAGGGCTTAGGACCCAGGTAACATACCTTTAGGGCTTTTATCTTAAAGACTTAGTGGGGTAACTTAACAGCTGATCTTATGTCTCTTCTACCAGATAATCCTTAAAGGTATTTAGAGATTTATTTTGCATCCTGTCAGAGCTGTACCATTCAATCCAATAGCCACCAGCCACATGTGGCCATTTAAATAAAATTAAAAATTCATCTTTTTAAGGTGAACTAGCCACGGTATGACTGCTCAGTAGCCACAAGTTAGTTAGTGGTTGTGTATTAGGGCAGAATGGAACATTTCCGTCAACACAGAAAGTTCTACGGGACAGCTCCGTTGTAGAGGGCAGAAGCAGGTTGGGTGAGCTCAGATGACAGTGAGCTAGGCTGCAGCTTAAAAGAAGGAAGGCATTTCTAAATCGTGGAGCTTTATGGAGGAGACATACCAAGCACAGGGTGGATGGCTGCCCTCTTGAGTGAACAGAAAAGACAGTTATTCCCATGAGAGTGAATGCCGGCAAATGCATTTTCTGTACGATCAGTGTAGAAATATTCCTTAATCACTCCTGTTTTGTGAAGCCTTCTCTGGCCAGGTCCTGACTTTTTTTCTCTTCTTCATATAAATCAGATAAATTCTTTAAGGCAAAGGCACCTAACTTCTTCTCTTGGGCCTCATTCAGTATCTACCAACTCAACTGACTCCTAAGACAATTGTTGGCTCTTAAAGACAGTGAATAAAGCTATGCTTGCCACTGGAAAGGTGCAATTCACCGACTCCGGTTATAGGAGGAACAGCAAGGAAAGATGATGTGGGTTATGACAGGGATGGAAAAGCTAAGGAAATAGCAGGACCCCTAAATCCGCATCTTTAAGATGATGTGACTCACAGGTCACTTGGTCATGGAAGTTCACAGTCAACTCTCAAACCTCAGCTTCAGCAATGAATGCTTTTCCACTTTCAGCCTTTATCTGTAATTCATGTGCCAGGGGCCGGCCCAGTGTATGTTCTCAATGCACTTAGCTAACTCAAATTCAGCAGGCCAATCCTGCCACAAAACCTCAAGATTCTAGTAGGGGAGGAAGAACCCTTTCCGTTTTAGCCTCCTCGTCCCCCTCTGCAGCGCTGACTGCCAGAGCCGCCACGCCAAGGACGCTGGCTGGATAAATGAGTGCCTGATGCAGGCCTCTTATCTCCAAGCAAACTTTCTTTGAGGAAAATAGAATTCTGTATCCCTCTAAAACGCAACACTCCAAGCAGAAAGGCGCCAGCCTTTTAAGAGGATTAGAGCTGGGCCGGCAGCTTTAGAAACACAGTGCACATTCAGGGGCCGGTGCAGCCGTTAACCACCCTTCAGCTGCGCGGCAAATCTGTTTTCGATGATCAAATCAGGACCTGGTAATTTATGGCATCTCAGCAGCTACTTTCCCGGTGAGATACTCGCTGTGCTGGATCCCGCGCGTCCCTGTTTGCCTGTTGCTAGGGTGACCGCTGGTCTTGGGAGGAGGGGGAGGGCAGCAAGGGGGCCCGTTTTTTGCTGCAGATATGATGGGAAGCGACACGGGAGCTAAGGAGCCACGCTGTAGGGCCTCCAGCTGCTCTGGGGACAGCTGCGATGCTTCCCTGAGGTCTCCCCCGCACTGAGAGCATCTGGGGCCACTGTTTCTCTGGTGACAAGTGCGAAGCTTAGGGGCTGTATCCATGAGCAGGAGTGGTGCATTCTAGGGACCGGAACACAAGGACTGAGTTCCAAGAATAGGAAATTCATATTTAACTGAGTGAATGTAATCAAAGGGGAAACACGGAGGCCGAGGGAAAATATAAAGACTCTTTGTAAAGGCTCCCTCAAGTCGCATTATTTCAATTCAACCAAAAAAAAAAAAAAAAAAACCTCCTTCCATTTAGTCATGGGTGCTTTTCTAGGAGGTCTTTCAGATTTCTTTTCCTAGTTTTCCTTCCTTATGCAATCGGCTATCGTGACTAATTTTTTTTTTATTCTGCCCTCAAAGGTTCAGAGAGCAATATAGCTGCTTGACTTTCAAAGCCCTTTCATTAACTTGTACCAGCGTCAGGTGGCATTATTTGCTTTCCTCAGATAAGCACCAGCTGCACACGGCAATGGAATTAGCCGTTTCCTGCTTTCCAAAAGCCAACAGGAAAGATTCCAGAATTTTCTCCAAGTCTTTTCCCAAATAAAGGGGCATTTTTGTGGCCTGTTAGATGATCTATTGATACGATAAAGGATGGTCCCGTGTGGAAATAAGATTTTTTTACCTTATAAGAAAAAAAACCTCAAGGGATGTTTATGAAAGGTTTAAAGTTCCTCTCCATTCACTTGGAGAAAAATCATGCATCTTTAAAGCATCTCAAATAGGGAATTTACTCTTAGGTTCTGGAGTAAGTTCATTTCCTCTGATGCTAGAATTACTCTTTTCTTTTACTTCACTTTAGGTGGCGGAATTTCTGAGCCGGGTCGTAGCTCAATCAGGTGTACACATTGTATAAATTCCAAAATGATAGGCTTTGGTCCAGGTAGGGAGACAGGGGGCCTTAACAAAATGAAAACAGCCTACATGCCAGTTCTAGGGAGTTGACTGTCTTTGTTCATACTTTCCTAAGGAAAATTCTTCATTGTTTCATAGCCCTCACTCTCAGGGAACTCTTCCTAGGCCATAAACTGAATCTTTTCAATGGCAGCTTCCAGAAAATAGAAAACAGTGTCATTACAAAATATGAACAACAAACAAACACACAAACCCAATGCCTGCTTTAGGAAAGGGTTCTAGAAGTTTCTGTGGGCTTCAGACAGGCGAAAGGGCCAATTCCTGAATCTCCGTAACAGCGTTTCCGTGCACTATGACTATACTTAATAAATATTTGCTTAATGACTCAATGAATGAATATATTCTTTCATGCCTTCCTGGTGAGATATTTCACAACTTTCATCAGATAAAGTCCCCCTTGGTTTCACCCGGCCTCCCCCCAAATTAAGAAGCACAAAAGATTCAACCATTATTTAAAAACAGATGTTCAAATACTCACAGCCTCGTTTCTCTAACAAGCATCCAGAGCAGGGCTTCCTGAACTGTACTGCCCACATGAATCCTTATCAAAGGGGCCTGGGGTCTTATCAAAACACAGACTCTGATATGGGTGGTCTGGGGTAGGGCCTGAGCCTGGCATTCTGCATTTCTCACAAGCTCCCACGGTGCAGAGGCTGCTGGTTCTGGGGGCTACACTCTGAGCAGCAAGGACATAATGCCTCAATTTTTTTTTAAATTGAAGTGTAGTTGACTTACAATATTCTATTAGTCTCAGGTGTACAACATAGTAATTCAATAGTTTTATAGAGTATACACCACATAAAATCAATGCAAAATATTGGCTATATTCCCTGTGTTATATATCTTTGTAGCTTATTTATTTTACATTTAGTAGTTATACAAAGTGGTTTTTTTTTAATAAGGTTCTTTAATAGCCTCCATTTAATTGGTTTATTTGTTCTTCATAAACTGACAACACAAGCCTAAGTTTAAACGATGCCCTTTCAAAGCTGAAGGCCCTGAAGACCGTCCCCTTACCTTCTCCGACTGTTGACCGCGATGCACACCGCAAGGATCAAAGCCAGGGCCAGGAGGGATGCCAAGATGATCAGCCACTCTGGTGTGAGTGAAGCAAAAGGCACGTGTGAGCTTGGGGAACACACTTTGTGAAAACAAAAATGCACTTTATAAACGGACCTGGTCCAAACAAGAATTATAGTCAGCTCTGCACATGGGTCTAACCAAAGGTCCAGCCAATAATCAGGTAATACTGGAGGAATAATTTTGCTATATAGGTCTTTGTCCAACAGGTCTCTTGTTTTCATCTCTTATCATCAGTCAAGATTTCCAAGACCCTCCAGGAGAAACATGTTTCCAAAAAAGTGCAGATTAACCTGTGGAAACTTGTAGATGCCTTTGGGGCATTGTTAAGTAGGTTAAAGGGGTATTCCTTAAAAGGAACATTCCTCTCCTGTATAAGAGCATTCAGCTTACATTTTACTAAGGAATGAAAGTGGAGGCCATATACTAGGGGGTGGGAAAAAAGACATTCCCGTTGGAGGGCTGAACTTGTGTGCATTCACTGTTAGGGGGGGTCCTTTGGCAAAACTTGTCAAACATCTTCAAAATGTCCATGCTTCTGATCCAGGAATTTACAGGACCTCAGAATTAGCTATACAGATATTTATTTCTGTGCTATTTATAACAGTGAAAGTTGGAAACAACCTACTATTCAACAGTAAAGGACTGGTTAAATTAATGAGGAAACATCCATTGTATTGCGTACTAAGATACAGGAGGAGTGTATGCAATGACACTGGAAAGCTGTGGCCGATAAGTTGGGAATGAAGTGTATGGTATAATTATGGGTTTGTATGGAAATTAGATTGAAAAATGACAGCAAGGATGTACATGAACATGGTAACCATGGTATTTATGGATGATGAGGTAGATAATAAGGGACTTATATTTTTACCCTTTTGAAATGTCTCCAATAATTAACATATTACTTGTAGACCAATAAAATGTCATATACGTGTTTTAAAACCAAGCTTTAGTAGCATTAAAATATGACTTGACAATTTGGATAAATTTAGTTGCAAAGTGGGTTGCATATCCATGCAATGGACTAGAGCTTAAGGAACAAGGAAGATGGGAAGTCACTTATTGTCCATTCTTCTTTGGGAATCTTGATTCTCCTCTGATTTCCTGCTCAGTCCTGCCTGATCTCTACCTGGTGAGGTGAGTCTGGGGAGGAAGGTAGAGTCAGGAGATGGGGAGGCTGACAAGAAGGTACCATTTTTGTTCTTTCCCCGGGTTTCTAGCCCTGAGATGCTCTGTATTCACTCTGACCAGAGCTGGGAAAAATCCTGCTGCCTGGTTATAGCTAACTGCGTCCCACTCACCCCACCTTCTCAGCCCACTCCGCCTTTCCACCTGCTCTGCTCAGACAAGCCAAGGCAAGGTGACCATGTCCTTCCCTCTCCCCCAGGAAGGCTCAGTTTGGAGACCTCTGGAGAGGGGAGAGATAACAAATTTGTAAAGAGTAATTTACTACCCTAGGAAAAATCTTCCTTTTTTGTAACCCCCCCTTTACAAATGCTCAGTTTTGAGTCCAAATCAAATAAACAATGCCTCAAATCTTGATGCTCGAGGGAGCCAGGTGGCCCAGCCCTCTCCCTGCAGGCGTCTCCCTCTCTCCTGTCTGGATCGGTACAGACTGCCCCACGAGAAAAAGCAGCTTGGGAACCAGGAGAAGATTTTTCACTCCATTCAACACACATGACCCTTGTATTTCCTCACTGTCTGTGAAGTGAGAGGAAAGTTACATACTTCACCCCCAAACCCAGAAATAAAGAAAGAACTAGACTGGGATAGGAAGGCCCTGGGGGTGACGTGGAGTCCCCAGGGGGCCACTCATCTGGGAAGGAAGCTTTAGTAACTAACATGGCGCTTACTTTGCGACAGGCCAGGGACAGCTCTGAATATGAGCTCTGCCAACCTATGGGACAGAGGCCAGAAGGAAGGTTCAATCCTCTCCTACCAAGAGGCTGTGGTGCTCTCAGTCACCCTTTAGCCTGCAGGTTCCAGGTTAGACATTTAGGAGAATGTGCTTTCCAACTGGTCTCTTCTTCCTTTCTAGGACCTCCAGACAGACCTGCTTTTAGCATCTTTTTTTTTTTTCCTTGCTTCACAGCTCAGAACTCACCTGGAATTTGAGGTTTCCGTATAGGACCCGAGGTGGTGTTTGCCCCGCCTTCTTGACTCCCACTTGAGTGTCCTAAAGAGAAAAACGACATCTCTCAACCAAAGTTTGGAACGCAGAACCACGAGTTCCTTACAGAGCCAACCTCTAGGTGTTGCGTCACTGCAGAATTATTTATAGATTCAAGCCACTGACATTATAATGTGTTACACGAAAGATATCTCCCCAGAAAAGTTTGGTTTGATTAAGGCTAAGGCTTGGAAATGTTATTTTTCAACAAGAGCACGAGAACTCTCAGTGGCAGCATTGTGCAGTGTTTAAGAGGCTGTGGGGCAGGGCGGTGCAAGATTCAAGTCCTACCTCTGCTAGGTCAAGTCATCCCTCTCCAGGTCTCAGTCTTCTCGCTCATAAAATGGGGTAACAACAGAGTCCACTTCCTTATCATTTTACAGAGGTTTAAAGAAGTGTGCAAGAATGGTGATTGTGTACAGTTCACTATTTTCGACTTTTAATTTAGGACCTTGCTACTCAAAGTGTGGTCCCTGGACAGGCAACATCACATGGGAGCTTGCTAGCAGTACAGAGTCCCAGGCCTCACCCCAAACCTCAGAAGCCTCATTTTAACAAGAACTTTAGGGGACTCAAAGGCTTCAAATAGTCCAAAGCAAATCTAAAAATTACATCCAATATCTTCAATAGACACAGGCATAAATATTAAAAAATAAGGATTTGGGGCGGGTGGCAGGGGCGGGGGTTGGCAATGGTCCTTTCGTTCTGTCTGAACAGAATCACCCTAATGAGAGTACTGGCTAATATATTCCTGCAACATGCATTGTCTTTCGAAGACAACATTTTCTACTGCCACAAAACCAACTAAGGAGACAAAGAAAGAATCTCAGACTGAAAGGAAGCAGGAAGTATCGCAAGAGAAAGAATCCACAAGTCAGAACCAGAGGTTCATCAAAATCAGGGGTGAATCACGTTTTACAAGAAACTTCTAAGACATCTTGTGAAGAGACGCACCCAAATGAAAGCTTTGGTTTTTGTTTGCATTTTGTGTGTGTGTGTGCTTCCTTCACTGCTTCAAAACAAAATGTGAAACATCCCCACTGAAATGAACCCAGTGGGAACCCACTGCAGAATCCTGAGGGCTCCCAAGGAAAGAAAATAACCCAGGAAGTCTGTCTGGCTAGTCAGTGGATGGAGATGATCAGGCCTTCAATGAAAAGCTTTTCTCAGAGAGTCAGACTGTCGGTGGTGCAGAGTGGACACTGAAATTTTGTTAACTGCCGTCATTTTGGATAGAAAGGCTCCTGTTCGTGCAATTTGATGTTCTTGTTAAACTCAAAACAGAGGAATACAGATTCTATCGGACATTTGGCTGTTTCAACATGCTGTCTGGACAGTGGCCTTTTGCTTCGCAAACCTCAGAAGGAGTCCAAGGGGTTTTCTCTAGTTGCCTCCCAGTGGCCTTGGCCATTGGCAGGTGTTTGCCTGCACAGGTCATGGGATATTTGCCATCTAAACTGGAGATCTTTGGCCTTGAAAACCACCTAAGAGATACAACCACTCTTGCTGGTCTGCCTCTGACTCACAGCAGCCTTTGATAATTGAAAGGGAGGCCATTAATGCATCATAATCTCTTTATTAGGATTTAAAAAAAAAAAAAGCGTTCCCGGCAAGGAAAGATCTGGGTGTGTGTGCGGCCAGATGAAACCTCCCATTTGAACAACAGACACCTGCACAGGAGTCAAACAAAAGAGACCGTTCCCGCCCACCTGATTTTCACTTGAAACAAAAGCAAAAGATGGACCAGATACACCGGTCTTGCCTTGCACCCTAGAGGTCTGCAAACTAGCCGGAGCTGGGCTGGCTGGGAAAGCAGGTTCTGCAAAGGGGATGCTCAACACTGCAGCTGGGAGGTGAGATCCAATCTGAGACATGTGCACAGAGATAATTCAACTGGCTGGTGCGACTGTGAGGCAAAATAGCCTAGGATAGTGCTTCTCAAACCACCTAGTGGGGGTGGGGTGGGGTAGGTCTGGTTAAAATGAGGCTCTTGATTCAACTGGTCCAGGATGGCTGGGGATTCTGCAGTTCCAGCCAGCTCTTAGGTGATGTCCCTTGCTGTTGGTCCTAGGACCACACATGGAATAGCTGGGGTCTCCTGATTTTAGAGAGCATTGTCTTGCAGTAATAACTCCAAATTCGGATCATTTCCAAAATCCTTTCATATTCCTGATACCTCATGCTTTTCATAAGAACTCTAGGAGGTAATGGGGGCTGGTGTTCCATCTCATTTTTACTAGTAAAGAAGTTGTGGCTGGGAAAGGCTAAATGCCCCACCCAAGGCCCCCAGAGAGCCTGGGACTTATGTCTTTATTTTAGAAGCGTTTCTACTGAGTCCCCTCACCCCTGTGCTCTTACATAATAGGTCATTACTGAAGTCACCATGTAAATATCCGTCTTCATATTTGCTTTAAGTGTCTGAACCTTTAAGCCTAGAGGCAACCCTCCTCCCACTTAGGCAGGAAGGGGACAGTAGTTCATATGGATCACCTGACTTGCCTGGGGTCACCTGGACTGGAGATGCCAGGGAGACCCCAGTAAGACAGCACCAGCAGAACCTCTCAGCAGCCCCAGTGTCAGTGGTCACACGTGAACCTGCCTCATGGTAGACTTTTGCTGCCTGAAGTCATATTTCTAGGGGTGTGATCAGTACAGTAATTACGGCAGTAATAATGGTCATTACAGAGTACTTTCTCCAGATCATGCTTCTGAGAGGCAAAACAAGTCCCCGGGGCTGGGAACCTGGCTTCACCTCCCAGCTCACTAGTCATGTCAACTCAGCCAGGTAACTTAGCTTCTCTGAGCTTGAGTTTCCTCATCTGTAATATTGGGATAATAATAGTACTGACATAATTAAGTGAGTTAATCATAAATGAAATACATGAAATCGCTGATATTTGGCTGTTGGCCTATAGAAACGGCAGTTTCATATCGTCCAACTTAATACATGCAAAGTGCTTAGAACAATGCCGCCAGCACACAGGAAATTCTCAATGAATGCTAGCTATTATGCCATGTGCTGGGGGTTATGCTAAATACTTTACAAGTATATTCATCATTTAGTCTTTAAAACGATGCCCTGCGACAATTATTATTACCCCAGTTTTATTGGTTAGGAAATTGAGTCTTAGATCCTTTAAATAAGGCCCCCAGTTTACATATGGAGGAGCTGGAATCGAACCCAGGCCATTGTTTTGGAAAAGTCTATGTTTTTATTCACTCTAGTGTAATGCAGTGTTAAACTGACAGCCTGCTTGATTCTTTCTGATCCTTTCAGATGGAAGAATTATCTTGAAAGTGGTAGTTCTCAAAGTGGAGTCCCTGTCCCAGCAGAATCAGCATCACCAGGGCACTTGTTATAAATCTATGGTCAGGCACCACCCCAGACCTACTGAATCGGAAGCTTTAAGGATAGGGGCCCAGCAATGTGGTTTAGTAAGCTCCCTCTGAGATTGTGATGCATCCAAAGAAAAATATGAGAACCATTTTTCAGGAGACACTGACTCATACATACTTCATTCATAATCAGCAGGTTGCATGGTTAAAACAGAAAATAACTCAATAAATAAAGCAGCTCAAACTCACCAGCTGATTCAGATCCGTCAGTGGTATGAGACCTCTCGCTGGAGTCAACCGGTGAGACTTGGTCATCTGGAAGGAGCAACGAGGCAAGATTCAGTACTGTGTTCAGGTACGCTGCATCTGTGTTTTCATACAGCCTATCACAAAGTGTAGTCTTTCAAAGGTAACCAAAGACGATGATAAACGAGCTCTGAATGGGCCCATGATATTAATTACTGTTCATTGCTGAATCCACTGATGAGTGGGCCAGAGCTTTAATCAAAATTTTAAAACCTGGGACAGCACAGACCATCAAAGATAACCATAGGAAGTGTAGCTTTAGTAGAAACTGTAACACTTTAACAAAAATATTATAATGTCTTTGCAGGTCTGATGGTAGGATTTGATACTGTATCTTTGAAATATGGACTATATGCTTTGGATTATGATAAATGTGATTACTGGGAACAGGTGTACTCTGTGGCTTAGGGCATGAGACATTTAAAGAGAATTCTTTGAGGCAGGAAATAGAAAAAGGTTTTGATGTGCAATAAAGAATATTGGAGTTGAAGTATATAAAGATTCAAAGAGAAAAGTCAACTGCTTATTTAGAGAAAAAGAGCCTGAAAATAAGTGAAAAAGAAATGGAGAAATGATAAGTAACATGTGACTAAGGTGTCCCTGGTTATTAGAATATGTTTCAAATAATAATATTTTTCAAAAATTAAATCTATATTTTTAATATCGGAAGTTAATGTGGTCCCATATCCTCAAATATCCATCACCAAAAGGCTTTTGATTGAGACAAGTTCATGAATTGCCAAAATCTGAACCCGCAGGTCAAATTTGGATTCAGCATATGGAAACTCACTCTTCTCCCTTTTCCCCACACATCTCCCAAAACTATAATGGCAACTTAAAACAAAACAGGACAATAACTTCATAAAATGGCTATAGTCACCCATTATGAAAAGTACATATAAGGAATATACAGTAATCTGATCATCACCATTTCCTTGATTAGAGTAGGTGAAGATTACCTGTAATCTCCCATGTAATTGTATAGAGGAGATAGATTGCTTTGTTCTTTGGTTGATGGTAAGAAGAATAACTGAAAATAGCATTTGCTGAAAGATGACACCAATACTGCCCCCACCGCCACCACCATCACAGTCACCGCCACCACCACCACCATCACAGTCACCGCCACCACCACCACCACCACCGTCACCACCATTACCACCACTACCACAATTCCAAATGTTTACATTGTATGGGAAGAAATGAGCCTTATCCAAGTATTTTGGAAGAAAACCAAGGATGAGAGTCAGATCATTTACCCATGGAGAACAACGGAAAGTCTGTACCACCGCAGGATGTAGAAGGAATCAGCATATGTAAAAATCAGTTTTGTGGAGAATACTTTATTTACTAATAAATAGGCTATGTAATCCTTCGAGGCTACTGTGACTATTAAAATTGCCATTTAAAATCTAAATTCATTAGGCTACATAACAGGTCTCATTTTGCCAAGAGAAACCAGGCAGTGCTTCAAGATTCATTTCTCCCGAAGAATACCAACCACACTACTTGGAATTTTGAATAAACCGAGGGCAGAATCATACTGCATAAAGAGCCAATGGATGTAAGGGGATTTGTCTTGCCAATATTGCTGAGGTTAGTATTTTTAAAACCTGTTTTCCTTGAAGCCCTGGGGTGGGCAGCCCAGAGGGGAGAGGCTGAGCATGTGGCATTCTGGGTTTCTGTCTCCACATCAGTTAGAGCACCAATGACGTTATCTGTTTTATATACTGGGTTCTCATAAGATTTATCCTTCTTTTGAGGTGGAAGGGGCAGGGAAAGGACCAATGCTGCTACATAGGTACATACACACTCACATAAATACATATACATATATATTTAAATAATATGTCTTAATGGTTGAGTGGTAAAAAAGACACCTGAATAACTGCCATCAGGAGGGAGAGTTCGGTTTTAGTTTCTTAGCCAGATCAGGTGTTTTGCAGTTCCGTTTTCTTCAATGTTAGTTTCTTAATGCAAATGAAGAAACACAGAAAAGTCAAGTTGGGACGACTGCTTATTTGAGGAAAAAGGTCTCATTCTTACACTAGGTTCATGTCCATCTTAACTGAATAAGTCATCTTCAGTCATCTCTTTGCCATCACAAGAGAAACGATGCCTGTTCATTAATAGGAGATTAAATCGTATTAAGTGTGTATCTTAACAGGAAAAGGTTATCCATAAGCCCTTCACCAAAAGTATATTCACCAATCCATCACCAGTAGAAGATAATAATTTCAGAGCAAAGACGTTAGTATATAGAAATTATTTACAAGTTGGGTAAAACCTTACTAATGGGTGGCATATGCTGAATAAAATGAAATTACTAATATTTGGCTACTTTGACTGACATATGATTCAACTTAACATATCATAAGATCAGAAACAAGACAAAGAAAGAAATTCTTCCGTAACAACCCAGTCACAAAAATAAATGGAAGTTACACAAGCAAATAAAAGCATTATTTATCTAAAGTAAGTCTGTTCACTTGCACACTACAATGATGATCTGTGATGAAAGCTGTTCCTGGGTCACAAATCAGTCTCGTCACAGCCTACACCAGAGAATGTCCCCTGTAATAAGAAAGTGTGTTGTTTTTCCCTATCGAGAAAGCAAATCAGATAACAGATGGCCAAATTACCTGATAAGGAATGATCAAGATTAGAGGTGAAATCTCCAAGAACAGTAACTCCGGTAACTCCAGGGGACTCAGGCTCAGTAGGGGTCACTGGGAGGAGGGTTGTGTATTCATTTGTGTCTGGAGAATGAGGAGTATAACCTTGCACTGAAGTGGCTGAGTCGTCAGGAAGATTTCCACCTCTTCTTCCACCTCTGCCATCATTCCTATCTGTGTGAAGGTGGAATCAATGGTAAACCCACTTTTGTAAGAACACCACCCATCATATGCTTGTCTTCAGAATGTGCAATTGCTGCAAAAGCTTGTCACTTGTTATTTGTGAACACGGAGCAAAAGACAGGGAGGTTTGTTACACCACTGGGCAGAATCAATATTTTGCAATCAACACCACCTGGATATTACTCAATGGAAGAGATTTTGGTGCTCTTAATACCCGGAAGAGACATTTGTTACAACAACCGCCTGGGTTATTAAAATAAGGTTTATGCCGCTAGAACTGTTACCCTGAAGTCAACCCAAGTACCAGATAATCTTGAGCTCTTACTCAACTGGACCACCACCTTTGATGAAGTGGAAGGTAAAAGTGAATTGAAAGGTAAAATTATGCTGCTTGCAACTGGAATAGCCAATGAAAAGTTTCAAAGACCAGAGGCTTTGATTATTCTTTCCTTGGCCATTTCACACGGCTTCTTAGTCACCAGCATCATGGATTTATGGTCCAGAGGATAAACAGCAAAATAATATTACTAATGCCAGGAAAACAGAGCATGATACAATTCAGACCTTTACACCAATCGTAAATCATATATAAGCGATGTTATGTGTAAACCAAGCCACTAACTCTAGATTTGAAGAAGCCCAGTCTTTAAGATTAAAAAATAGAGTTTGCCTTTAATGTACAATAGTTTCTAACAGATCTACAAGCAGAAAAATCAGAGACCCATCACCAGCCACACCTTCTGATCAGAAGTATCAGCATAACTGCAGCCAACTGATGTCCCTCCACCAAAGACACTACAAAGGCACCCATAATTCATTGACTTTTTTTTTTTCACTAGCTGAAGCCACCTGGGCTTTACAGTCCTTACTGCTAGATGTTGGAGCAGAAGTCGTCGGGTGCTCTTTATCTTCTTCCAAGCCTCCGTGTGATGTAGAGACGCTCAGAGTATCACTCCACTCTGTTTCAATGAGGGATGAATCTGGTATTAATTTGGAGCCATGAAACAAATCCTCTGTTATCTGCTGATGGGGAGGATCTAGCTACAAGTGTCAGATGGGTAGGTGCGTAGGAATACCAAGGTTCGGGCAAGCCATTCTTCTCTGATTGACATAAATGCACAACAGATTTCTGCTTTGCCCCTAGTTGGCTTTGCTTTTCAGTATAACCAACAAGGTCAAGTGCCAAGGTGACACCTGAGCCAAAACTTTGTCCATCCTGGATCCTTGTGGCCCAATTATAGCACTTCTTCCTGTCACTCGGAAAAACCAGAGCACACAGAGACAAAGAAAAAGGAACGTGTGAATCCCAGTGTTCCTATTAACCATCAAGAGCACCTAGCTATGTGTCAAGACACGTGACGGTAGAGAAAATAAACACCATCATAGCGGATAGCGTATTTGTAACCACAAGAGAGGAAGAAGTTCATCTAGAATTACTTGCTCAAGTAACTCAGACCAAATTTATACAAGGAAACACTTAAATCTCTTCTGAAGAATATTAAAGTTATCATTGTACTCAGTTATTAGGTTTCTGATCTCATCTGTGGATGCGGATTCTCATCACTGAGCTGAAACACCAGGAAACTCTTATCTGGGCAAACACAGGGCCCTCGCTGATATATATCAATTTCATGTTGAATCATTGCCCGTATCTGAAAAAGCTTTGATTGTTCTCAGTTAATTTCTTCTGTGTTCTTCTAAGAAACATACTGACCTCTGAGTTACAGGTGCAAGCACTCCATAAAGCACACCACTAAGCACACCATGTCCACCACCAAGTAAATATTACAACCAGGAGAGAGACATTCACCAAATCCCAAACTCAACTTCAGAGCAAAAGTCAACAAGGACATAAAGTAGGAATACAAAACCCTTGACTGGCAAGGACCATTTTTAGGCTTATCTGCATGTCCTTTGATGCTTAACACTGGGCTATTTACATTCTTGACGATCAACACATGCCTGTTAATTTTTCCCTTTGCCTAAAAGGGCTCACATGGAAAGAGTCTGCCTATTATGTGAGACCTTCTTAATTCTGGACTTCTTTCATATTCTGTCAAGAAATTATGAATGGGTGATCTCCAGGATAGCTCTATAAATGTAGTGGACGTTAATGCTACTAGAAGTTTAGCACTGTTTCTACCATGGTGATGGAGATATGAGCAAATGTTCCTCTTTTGTTCCCTGGCCCTGCCATCTATGTCAACTGTCAACAGCAAGCCTTGCTCCTCCTCTGTGGGCTGATGTGATTTCCCTACTCTCCATCACTATCTAGCTCCAAAATGTCTTTTTACAACCATCAAAACGTCCTACCCCTATTCTGCATTGACTGAAAGATGGGAATCAAAAGGAGATGGTCAGTTAAAGCGTAGAGAAACGACCATCTGAGCTGTGGTCTTGGGTTTCACTGACATTACTACTCAGAGAAGGAATGGAGTCCCACACCCTTTTTAATTCTTTCTTAACATAAAATCATTGACTCTGGGAAGCACCAAGAATGGAAGTATAATCAAGTTTAAAGAATTCATCAAGAAAATATAGACAGTGAAGACAGCTTTTATGTTCTGAGCTGAGCTGAGCTACGTAGCACTGAGCGAGCTGTTCCACCACCAAGCTCTGCATCAGGGCCCACGGGAGCAAGAGCTGAAGCAGGAATACAGGTCAATAAGGAGACTGGAGGAGGGTATAGCTCAGTGGTAGAGTGTATGCCTAGTATACACTAGGTCCTGGGTTCAATCCCCAGTACCTCCATCAGATAAATAAATAAATGAACAAATAAATAAATAAAGAGACTGAATGTCATTATCCTTACGAGTTGTCATTGAAAGAGGTCCTGTCCTGTCCAAGTCTTCCACCAAACCTGTGTTTGGATCTGCAGAAGGCTGAAGTGTTGTACTATGGCTGGTGTCCATATCTGAAGGAATTAAATCGGGGTTATTACTTGATTTCCTAACTACTACCTGAGGGTGGTTTATGGTCTAGAGACAAATTATTCTTATATTCAAACTTGAATAAGAGGAACTGAAGTAGATTATCATTTCTCCAAAAAAGCATTCCAAGAAGTAACTGGTTTTCCCTGAAGGGCCGAGTTATATAAGAGCTATGATTTTTGTTCTTTTTTGCTGAGTCTGGAAGGATGCTAAATGAGCACATGATGGGCTTCCCAAGCCTTGCAGAGAGAGAAGTATAACCCCCGTGTGACTTGTCCCATTCCATACACATGATGTGACACATGGAGACAAGACAAAGTGCACTGGTTCAGGAGCCATTGTGTCACATCCTCCTTACTTGGCAAAATAACTTTCTTTATAGCCCTCTTCCCTCATTTGCTCCTCTTTCGCTTTACAAAATGAAGGTACAAATAAAACACAAAATCATCATTCAATAATCTCTAGATGGAGGCCACAGGAATATTCTAGGGCAAGAAATAAGAAGCAGTGGATGTCAGTGAATCATTCTTCCCATAAACACAAGCAGGAGATGTCTTTGGAATGTGACATGTACAATGTTGAGCATTACAGTTTTCACTGAAAATATTTATGGAAGCTGTTTCTAATAATTATCACAAATCAGTCCTGCTGAAATAACAAGTTCTGGGTGAAAGAGCGGTCACACAACCCATAAACACCATTACTACTGCTGGTGTGATTTGAAGTCCACCCACATTGCTACCTCTGGGGAGATATAATCAGTCCCAAATCACCCCAGAGGGAAACACTGGACCATCAGGCACCCACCTGTGCATTGTAGCCTTTACATACAAAAAGAAAAGGACAAAACGTGGCTGACTCCATTACCCCAGATTTCAAAAAAGAAAGGCTAGCTAAGTCAAATCAAAACCCCAAGTGGATATTCTCCCAGAAAAAGTCCTGCCTGTTGATGGTCCCTAGACACTCTTGTTCAGCTTCTCATTGATAAGTGGAATCCTTTAAGAGGTATCACACCATTCCACGGTTGAAGCCATTTATAATGTTCCTGACATGATCAATTTAATGGAACATCTATCTGCTCATCAGTAAGTCACTGGGTATCATATTTATATCTAAATATGCAAGAGTAAATAATAAAATTTTCGGAGCCTTTGAGGTACTTGTTTGGAATGAGTACTCACCAATTTTTGATCTCTAAGATTTCACTACCAAAGACAAGTTACATCTTTGGGTCTACAGTGGAAATAGTCATTGAATAGTCACTCTTTTTAAAACACTGCATTCAAAATTGTAGACTAGATAAACAAGATGATACTGTATAGCACAGGGAAATATACACAAAATGTTATGGTAGCTCACAGAGAAAAAAATGTGACAATGAGTGTGTATATGTCCATGAATGACTGAAAAATTGTGCTGAACACTGGAATTTGACACAACAATGTAAAATGATTGTAAATCAATAAAAAATGTTAAAAAAAAGAAGTAAATGGAAAAGAAATCTTGAAACTGCTCCTCTTCAGAGGAAATGACTTCCAGTCTCAACAACTTAAGACTAATTCTTCTTTGACTCCCTTGCCAAATTCTCCACCCTCAACCAGGACTTCATATCCAGATCAATGTGCATATCACTCTTACCAAGAAAACTAGTTTTTTAAGAAACTTAAAGTTCCTTAGGAAACCACACTGGTCTAAACTCAAGGGCACATTTCTAGGAAAACAGCCACTTGGCAGCTTTAAAAAACATAATATATATATAAAAGCTCAGAGGCCATTACCCATCCTTCTTTCTGTTTGATGACCTTGTCCCACTGGATGTGAGATTGGGTCCAAGATATAAGTCCAGGAACTGTCCTCTTGATGCTGCGTGGTCACTCTTTGATTTGGATGGCTGTCATGGGCTGAAGCTGTTGTGACTATGCAGTTCAAGCAAGTGTCAAAATGTTAGTTGACATTTGGCCAAAGATAGATCGATTTTTTTTTTAAAGACTGTATTCTCAACACAAGACAATGAAACCATCTTCTAGGTATAGAGGGCCAGGAAGCAGCATAAATGCAGAATGTCTTAGCAGGTATGGGTTCATTCAGGCTCATTTTCCTAGCAATCAGCATGTGAACTAGAGGACACAAAAGCATTAGTGACTTCTCTAGTGGGTAGACAATAAGTTATAGACATCAAAGTAAAGATGAAGGAGCAGTTCTTGACCCATGCCAAGTTGCCACTGTCCCCTAAGGGAGGAAGTGTAAGAGCCCAACACATGATGTCACTCCGAGACAACCACATCCCAGCGAAAAACACATTAGGCCAGCGGTGATTTAGAGAAGGAATCAAGTAACAGCTTCCCATGAGATAGATACACATGAAAGTAAATGCCACTCATCTCAAAAGCATGAATGGAATCCATTAGAAGCATTACCTTCTAACAATGGGATTTATGGCACAAGTGGCATACAGGAATGAAGCACATGCTTTTGCTTTCTTCTGAGCTAATGAAGAAGTATAGGTGGCAAAGATGACAAGAATAGCCCCTTAGCAACAACCACACCACACAGCCAGTCACTGAATCCATTGCTTTGCCAGGTATGCATTCAGAAGTTGCTGTGCACAGGAACAACATTATGCATTACAGTCTATGTTGCAAATGGAAACATGGGAATAGTTCTCGCTGACACCAACTAAGAAAATGGTATTCACAGTCTTTAACAAGGCAGGATGCATTTCAGTCTTTCTGTCACACAGACAAAAGAATCACGCATGGGAGCCAGCAGAGCCAAGTTAGCGGGCATCATTTAGAAATGATGACAAGATTTGAGTCCAGTCTCCACAATCCCACAATTCAAGAATAGACAAGAGGTGTTTTCTGTACATCTAAGAAGAAATCATTATATATTCAAGGAGAAATCTCCAAACAAACATGACAAAAGGGCCAAATGACACCAGACAGGTATTTTTCTCAAAATGTCTGGCTCCATTTCCTCAAATACTGGGGTTATGAACAAATGCTTTCTAACAAGCCCACTGTTTCATAGAACTATGTTGTAAAGCTGGACCCACATCATAGGGTAGATTCCTTTACAAAGGAAAAGGGAGTGTTTTATAAGATCAGAGTCTCTGTTACAGTCTCACTAGGGGATACTCCAAACTAGATCTGAGAGTGACACCTGCAAGAGCATGTTTCCTGTGTTTCCTTTCTGTGCCTGAATCCATTGCTCTTCACGTAATTTGCTACGAGAGTTAAAGGGTTGGCTCTGCGCCGACGGCATCATCATTGATGAAGGAACCTTAACATCTTGTGACAGTCCCTTCAAAGTCTTCTTGTTCACTGCCCTCAATCCCCAACGTTTAACCCAAGAGGAAGTTTTCACCCAAATTTGCCTGTTAAACCATCCATTACCAGCTGTCCCTGCTGTTGAATGAGAGTCTTCCTTTGGTGTTTGGGGATATTCCCCAGGCCATTCATTCTCGAGCCACTGCTCTTTCTGGATAGCTGTTTCTTCTGTTGTACTACTAGGGGTTGCCCAGGCTGTGAGAAGAATGTCAATTGTGAGCCATTATTGTTCAGTTAATTTCCTTACCAACACATATCTTTCTACCCTGAGAGCACATACATGTAGGAGAGAAGGTAGGAGAGGAAAGCAGTAAGGAGCGAGACCACTGATACACTGAAAGGGGTATCAGAAAACCCCTTCGATTTTTCAGAAGGGAAAACTAGAGCCCAAAGAAGTTCTGATTTGCTCAAAATCATATAGTCAGACTGGGACAAATTTAAGACTAGACCATGATCTATGAATTCCCAGTATTATTCATATTTTACTAGAGTCTGTGGACTCATATATCCTGTCTGAGAAAACCCTTTGTTCAAAAAATTAACTTCTTGTCTCCAGGGATTTGGGGGGAGCAATATATTATACAAGAATCAATGACAACACCAGCCTAGTGGGAAGCCTTCTCCCAAATGGTGGCCACATGACTCATAACCACACACACTGGAAACGCACCAGCAGTGGATCTGCCCAGCATGAAAGATGCTGGGAATGGCTGGGATGCTACTCCACTGACATATTACGAGGTTATGTCTATGGAGCATCCCAAACTGCCAAAATTACTTTTTAACAAAAGTAATTCAGTGGAAGAAAATTTTTCTAACCACTCTTTGGCATTTATATAAACAAAAGGAGTGTAGGACAGGCTTAAAATTTCAAACACTCAGGGTTGCAATTGTTCAGTTTTAAAAAGGACAAAATGAATGAAGTAAAATTGTATCAGGGTGCCTTTGGGAAAAATCAGAAAGCCACTGACATTTTCATCTATAGCAACTAATAGTAAATTATTTGTTCATCGAGAAAATGAGAGTGTATAACACAGCAATGATATCTTGATAAAAAAAAGAAAATGAGTGTGTAAACTTGCCAATTCGAAGTATGTTTTGCAACTCGTAAAACTGGTTGTATTTCATTATTTTAGAAAATGATATACATGACTTGATAATAGCAAAGACTTAAAAAAAAAATAAAACGTATTGTCCTCATTTTACCCTTGCATTGGCCAAAACATTCCTGGGGTTAACTGGCTATCCAGAGGGAGGAAAAGAAAGAAACAAACTCTTAAATTTTACCTCCCACTGACTAAATCACTACCTCCTGACAAATAATGAAGTTAGAAGAAACACTGGGTGTAATTACAAAAAAAAAAAAGAAAAATTAAGCCAAACATAGATTGCCTACTTAAAGCTTAAAAAAAAGAAAAATAAAACAAACCAAAAAATGCATGCACACACACACACCCCACCACTGCTCTATACTTCTTTTACCACTGTCTTTATAAACACAATGATCCTTTAAAGATCCAGTAATCTTCTGTTGCTTTCAACATATGGGTTAGCAGGGGATAGGATTTCCATTGTAAATATGAAGGTTGGATCTCTTCTAGAAGTTGTGATGTTCTTTGGATAAAGCCCAGAGCTCACCAATCAGAATCTCTTTGTTTTGAGAGTCCTGGTAATAGACCTGCCATAGCAGCTGCTGCTTCCTCTCTGCTCAGTTCTGTGTTGTCCCGTATTTCAACTACCCTCCAGTAATGATGCCCCTTCCCCCCACCTTTTGGCAATAGGCTCATGAATTCCAAACCTCCTAAATAGTTTTCTGCTTTTTAAGTACAAACTGTCTTAAATAATTTCTAAGATACACTGTTAGGACCCAAAGGGACGGGTACAGAATCCCATTCTGAAGAGACCTCTGCTTCTTAATTTCTTCTTCTATCAAAAGACTCTTGTTAACTCACCTCGTAAACCTCGTGCGTGTATCAAATCTATTGGGGTAAATAATGAGACGTAGGCCTGTTGGGCGTAATCAATACAATGCCCAAGACTTATTAACCTATTCAGTCCTAGCTGATGTCTGAGACATTTCTTTTGTTGTCTGAGGACGTCCTCAATCATGGATTCCCAAACTCTTTTTGCCTCTAAGTGATTATTTCTTACATTTCTGCTTTAGGAGTATTCCAGGCTATGAGAATGATCGTTGAACATAATTTTAACCATGCTACGAGCTATTATCCTAAGCTAAATCTTCTTTTATTCCAAACATCATAAGCATCTCCCTGAGAGGAAGATTTTAAAAAAAGAAGAGTGTACACTTCTTATTTCTTTTTTTGTTCTATCCTCATAGTCCAGCAGTGAGACCTGAAATTGTTTTAGGAAACCTGAGATGTTTGCACATAAGTAGGAATAACAGCATCAAAGCCTTCCCCAAGAGTTACCCTGGGCTTAAAAACAGAAAAACAACAGTCATGGAATTCAAATGCAGACCATCTGAGCTACTAACGTTCCTCCAAGGGGTACAAGGGGTGCCTTTCTACAATGCAGTGAGGAACAGAATGTGAAAAAGAAACTGGATTCATCAAAGATCTTCATAGAAAGTAAAGATTTCAAAGATCATTGCACTTTTCATGTTTTCTTTCCAGGTCCCACTACAGGCATCAAAAGAACACACATCATACATTTCCATGAAAACACACAGATTACCCAGATGGAAACTCTGGGAATCTTTAACACAGATTCTTCAAATATCTCACATATTTTTAAACATTTTAACTTTTTAGACATTTTGGCCATTTAGGCAATCTGATAAGTTAGCATTTTCCCCCCAAATTCTAAGAAATTGGGCACATATTTGGCAGCTTTTCACGCTCTGGGGATAAGAGAAGTTATTGTGTGGAAATAGAAGATGTAGCCAGTGTCTACACAAGAGTCTTCCCTATTCTTTGGAATGACTTCCCTAACTCATCTCAGCCAGGACTGCTGACCACCATCCTTCTTACGTGTGCCTGTAGAATGCTGGGTCTCCTCTTCATCATGGTGACTGAAAGACGAGTGTGGCGTCTGGGTCCACTTTTCTCCATAAGCACTGGTGCTACTTCTGTCCACATCTGTCGTGATGATGGTTATACACACAGTGACTTTTTATCAATCAACTTTTGATGATTCTGTTCTTCCACTAAAGTACATGACCTCTAATGGTCCTGTGCCTAAATGGTACCTCTGAGCATCTACCTTCAATGCTTTTGAGTGACTTCACTCATCTCTCCCAAGGGAAAACCAACGGGCATGGACTTTCTTAATGTTTACCTTTTATTCCACTATATCCATTTTGTCAAGGGCAGTATCACAAACCATTTTAATGCATTCATTTTTAAAATGAAGCAACATAAAATATCCTGTGCTCAGATGATATAATTGATAAATGACTCCTAAGCTGACCTGAGTATCCTCATGAAAGTTCACTAAAAATTTGTGATGAGATATTAACTAAATTTCCCACTGTGTCCCGATGATTGATCTTTGCAACATCAAAGACTTTGAGGGAAAAAAATATTTAATTAAGTATGCATAACCCATTACCAGTCATCCTTGTGGTTGTCTGAAGCGATACTTCTGGATTCGAATGGCCTGGGCTCCATTGGGTCCAATCCTGGTTCTGTTGTGGGTGGTTAAAAACCCGGGGTGTAGTTGAAACTGTGATAATGATGATTGAAGTAATTAGGCAAATGTTATTTCTGGAGCTTACTCTGGAGTTCACCACTTGCTTTGCACATTTCTCCCTTCTTTAGTCTATAAAGTAAATCATCTATACCAGGTGGTATAGACGGTTAAGTAGAAATGCCGGGAAAGCAGAGTTCCTTCAGCTTGATTCAGCCATACTGTTAAGCATCTCAGTGTCCTTTGCATTCTGTCAGAGAATACGCTGGGGTCAGAACATGAGATCTTCTGGAGAAAGCAGCCAAAGAAGCTGCAGCAGGAGGAAGAAGAGCTTTGAAAACACCAGCCCTCCACCGAGGATAACCAAAGGCATCAGAGCTTTGCCCATCCATGCAGTCTGCAAGTACCCTCTGCGCTTGAAAGCCCAGGGAATTCATATCACTGGCAAGTGAGCAACACGGAGATCCACTGGCTGAAGCGTAGACACCTGGAAGTTATACCACGATGACCACTTCACTTCATTAGCAGTTTTGGTGGGGAAAGAAACACCATGAGCAGCCAGAGCTTTCCTAGAGATGAGTCCAAGAAAGAATAGCTACCTAGAACAGCCATATGACTCAGCTATACATTTCTGAATATTTATCAAACGCTTACAGTATTCTCGCCCAAAACAAAGCATTTCACAAGCAAGCCATTCACAGCCAATGAAAGAAAACCAAGATGCATACATTCAGTAGAAAAACACCGTTAAGTAACCAACCACCATCCGCGGAAGCTCCCGGAAACTAAAAAGTGGCGTCCATCCACCAGGGCCCTGATGCTGTCACCCAAAACAGTAGGGCTGGAGTAAGAGATGCACCTGGCAAAACCACGACGAAATCAGAATCTGTGTCTTTTGTGAGGGGTTATTTGTAAATCCATCCTAATTCTTTCCAACTTTTATTTTGATGCCCAGATAATACAAAACTCTTTTCAGAACTATAATACTTTCAGCTCTATTTCACAAATTAATGAAGTCAGGTTTAGAGCCATTAACCACATTCTCAATAAGCATGCGAAAGTGGCAGTTACCACACCCCAACAGAAAAAAGTCGGGCATCCTGCTGAATTACGTGCACAGGTGCCAAGAAGAAAAGTGAGCTGAAATTGGAAAATATGCCACAGAGATGAGAAAATATCAAGGGAAGTTTTCCCCTGGAGTATGAGCGTATGTTTTATTTTCAGCTTAATCTGTTTGGCTTACCACCCAAGAGTTTAGTTTCTCAGATATCAAGACCACATCTTTACGATGGCCCCACCTAGAAGATGTGGCCACATTCCGAACTCAGGAGACAGTATAAATCTCCAGTGTTTGGGGTTATTTGGTTTTCTTTCTGAAGTTACTAAAGATAGTTTCCTTGTTCCCTAGACTAAGCTGTGTGGAGATGTCCAGCTGAAGGATATACTCCCTACAAGCTTAGATATAAAGCATTTAGTTCATCTCTGGTATTTATTGTATCAATGTCCTCCATTCAGATGCACTTGGGCTTAAGCTCTTCCTTTGGAGCCCTCCCTCCTGGGGTGCTGGCCTCTTGGGAATGAAACTCTCAAGTTTCAACAGAATGGACATAATTTCAATGACCTGAGAGAGCTCACATAGCACCCCAAAGGTACACCTTCTCTGAAAAAAAAAAAAAGGAGAGCTGTAATAAAATCAGGCTCAAGATTCTCATCTCTGTTCAGTAATATCTTTGATCATTACAGGCATGAACAGGAAACTCAGTCATCTGGTAGAATATTAGATGAATCTTTGAATTTTTTAAGGGGATATTTCAGCTCAGTTTCAGTCCCTGCTCTCAAAAAGTTTTATAATTGCCACCAATTTGGGTACCATTAGGCAGTGGTTTCACTATTTGTCTTTAAGAATTGGCCCTGTTTTGTTGTAGCTCAGCTTTAACACTTAAACCAAACAGGAAGAACATGAGGCATTAGGAATTGCATAAAAGATATTTTTCCCACTTCTCCTCCAAATACGTTTTGGCTTCCATTAAAAAAAAAAACACAAACAAAAAGCAGTTTCTTCCTTCACAGTCTCATCAAGGTATAACTAATGTATAGGCTTATGTTCATTTTTCATATTAACTGTTTCCCAAGATTGGAAATCACTACTGGGCATCACTCGGATTAATCGATACATCTGGCAGCAATGGTTCTACTGGAATGGATTATTCTTACTGGTGCTGGAGAGAAAATCTTCATCATCATCAATGCCTGATCCAGAATAACTGGGCTGTTTGTCTCTTTCATCTTCATTTTCTTCAGTTGGCTCCCAGCCTGCTGAGATGATATTTGAATCCGTACCTGTTGTGGTGACTTGCGTTAGTGGCTGAGCTGGATGCCAAGCAACCCATTTGACAAAGGAAGAAATCAGGCACAGAATGTATAACGGAATTCCCAAGATTATAAGAAAAAAAGTGAGACATTTGACTTGTACATCCCAAATGCTTATAGTCTGGTCTCTGAAGCTAATATAGAGATCCTAAAACAATTAGTGAGGATCTTTCCAATTGAACACTCTTATTAAGGAAGTTAAAAGAATAAATGTGGACATAACCCTACCAAAGAGGTAAAAGAAAAAAAAAGCCGATAAACACTCCCTCATGCTTTCAGATGCATTTATTATTAACTTGTGAAGCCTATGCCATTAAAGCTAGAATGTCAAGAATAGAACGAAAAGATTTCGCACATGCCTATTGGTTTTGTCAAGCCACCTTTAGAAAAATCTTGGAATCTAAACCCATGCCAATCATTTCTAAAACCCGTTAGTTGTATTCACAATGGGCCAATTCACTTTTTGGTCTTCTCCAGCACGCAGTCTCTGTAGCTCTGAATGCAAACAAAAGCTACACTGCAGTTCCCAGTAACACTTCCGCATATAGCAGGGAAAAAAAAGTTAGTCAATCAACAGAAAAACCATGCCTGGCATTTATTAGTCAACCAAAAGGGTTGACTAGAGCGGACTGTAGCCAGTATTGGGGGAAATGTTCACTTTTCCCCTTTTGGATGCAATCAGTCATAGGCAAGGAAGTGGAAATCCTCCACCTCTTCTCAGTGGTTACTCAGTGGTCAATCTCTCTTTATCTTTAAGAAAAAGGGGTTTTCTACATTTTGAATGAGATTCATGCTATCTTTTGGAATGACCACTTGCCTTTTCATACTATGAGTATCTATCCCAAGAACAGTCTCACTGTTGGAGGTTTTCTGTGTTTTGTTAGCTCTAGCTATGCCACTTTATTTTCTCATAAAAAGTCAAGAACGTTTCATGACTTCAATCATTTTAGAATATCTTTCAGAATCAAAATTTTGTTCTGTCTTCGAGAAAGACCCAGCGCCTTTTTAACAGCCCCCTTATTAGCCTCCTCCCGAGACACATGGAAGAAATCTGCTTATGAGTGTTACAAAATCAAACATAAATCACAAAGCGCATTATCCTTCTAAAGTCATCAAAAACATTTACGAAACCAGAATGGACTTCAGACTTGGACAGCATCCCCGAGGTCAACAAGAATTACTGAAGACTGTCAAGAAAACATACGAAATGAGATAATAATAACTCATTACCAGCCGTTATTGTTGTTGTGTCAAGATGACTCTTGGAATCTGATGGCTGAAACCACCGTGAAAACCAGTCCTGGGCTTCTTGCCTCTCGGTTGCTGTTTTGGAAGTTGTACCACTAGTGATCATCAGAGCTGTTGTGATCATAATTGAATTGAGTGCGGAAAGGTTAATTATCAGTTCCTAAGAAACAGCACTGCATATGCTTTCACTCTTTTACTGCCCAAGTGTCATCTCTACTTGATATCGACGGCGAAAGAAAAGGAAGAAGCACAGATGTTGCATTTCTTTCAGAAGCCCAAGCTGGGATTCACAGAATGTCAGAGATGGAAAGACCTTAAATATCTGGTTCATGCTCCTCATCTGGACAGACTTTGACTTGTTAAGAAGGTTAAACAAGACAGAGGTCTTGAGGAAAACATGAGAACTGTCTTTGAATTTTGAAAGGCTGTGACGTAAATCAGGGATTACATTTTTATCTGTGCTCCCCAAATGCCAAACGAGGACCGCTGGTGAGAATTTCAAGGGGATGAATATTCTTCCAGATGTTGGATTTAAAAAGGTAATCAATCATCTGAACCATCCAACAGTGAGCTTTTGCATAAAGTATTGCATTCCCTACCATCGGAAAGATCACTTAGCAGGAAAACATTATGTGTAAGACATTAACAAAAGATCAGAAGTGTTGATTGAACTAGACCATTTAAGATCCTCTCCAAATCTGAGCATCCATGATTCCAAAACCCAGCTCTTCAGAGTCCTAGCCTTTTGTCTTCTACATACTCCATCTTGGCCAACCAATATCATCACCAATAATTTAGGGCATGATATTTCTGCCAGCAGTCCCAGACACAAAGCCCCAGCAACCCGAAACACGTGGAAGAAGGACACGGGAAATGGAAGACTGAAAAAGATGCTGTTCCACTTTTCTCCATTTAGCATCCAAATCCTCTAGCAGCCTTGCCCATGGTCACTTTTACATCAGCACTAGATTTTGCAAAGCAGAACAGAATATTCTGAGTCCCAGTCTTTGAAAACAGAATAATCAATCAGGCAAGACAGAGAAGAACTGAGCCCATGATCTCATGAACAAGACAAGAAGCAAGAGTCTTGGTTGGAAAGCTTCCAAACACTGCCATTTCTGCAACCAGGATGTCCATCAGAGGAAGAGTAGAGAATAGTAGATAACAAACTGAGAAAAAGTTCGAGGAGAGAAGCCGAAGCCATTATTACACCCAAATACAAAAGTAAAGTAAGTTAGATTTCTTTTTCCAGCTATCAAGAAAGCACAGGAGTAGCCCAAGATGAAGTACTGACAAGAAGACTTTCTCCTTCACAGTGTTTGTCCTATGAAGATACACATTGTAAACATTTTAAAATAGCATTTCTTTATTCTGCAGGCAATCTCTCTCCCTCCTCTCAGCATTATCTTAATCACTATGATATGTAACCGTAACATCACATAAGCACTATTTTCCTTACAGGAGTAAGGAAATAAATAATACAGCCCAAATAAAAAATACAGTTTATTCAATGTCTTATAAGCTAAGCAAATGTAGAGGATCATTTAAAAATATTTTTTACTTATTTATTATTGTATTACTTAGTTATTTTATTTTGGTGGTGGTGGGAGGTAAGTAGGATTTTTTATTTTTAGAGGCGGTACTGAGGATGGAACCCAGGACCTCGTGCATACTAAGCATGCACTCTACCACTTGAGCTATACTCCCGTCTGTAAAGGACCATTTTTATAACTCTTCTTCTGCAAAATGAATGCCTAATTATTCTGAAATATAGCCGTATCCTCCATCAATGAAAGTTAACAAATGAACATATGCTTATAATCTCCAATGGCTATAGACTTTGAATCTTTTCCCATCAAAAGCTCTCAAGTCGAAACACTTTATAATGATTTAAAATTAATAGTCAGGCATCTAGGGAGCTTGTTAGAGGCTCAGATTCTGACATAAAGCAACAAGTCAGTTCCTGCATTTCACAGTTGAGGTTTTAGACATCCAAACAAGAATCCAGGGCTGACACTTTCCATCCATAAATCAGTATTTCCCTCTGGCATTATGATTGGCTGTGCTAATTAGATCAGCAGAAAATAGGAGTAGGCATTTTCTAATAGACTTCTTTCAAGAAGACGTGTTCTGAACAAATCTCCCAACTGAAGCCTCTGAGGGAAAAGTAATTCTGATTCTATGTGCATGTTGCCAAATGGAAAACAAGGAGGACATTTAGGAGAATCCAGTCATATCCTCAGACCCGTGGGCCTCTCATAAATTGAATGGTCCCACACCCTGTTCTCACTAAGGATGATGACAGAGCATCAGCAGGAAGCTTCGGCATGAGAATGGATGTCCTCTTCCTCAACACTGAAGGCCTTGGCATTCAGGGCAACACGATGAGCAAAAGATGTAACAGTTTACCTGTCGTTGCTGTTGTCTGATCCTGAGTCTTAGGCCGCGAGTTACCATACCAGGACCACATCCAATTATTTGCTCCTGAGTGGCTGCATGACTGTTTGAGTGCACAGTTGAAGTAACTGGATCAATTATAAAAATATCATTTAGTGAGGTCTTTCTATAAAATCTTTATCTCAGTTCCATCTATGTATAATGTACATATATATTATAGAATGAAGATCAGACAAGAAAGATGGAGGCCTGGTTTTATCTTTGCAGTCTCCGAAAGCCTCTTAGAATCTTAGGACAACATCAGAAATGCAAATTCTGTATGGGTATCAATTCAGTACTACTCATTCTTCCAACTGAGCCTCTTGAATACAGGCTCAGAGCAAAATCAAATAGCAACTTAAGAACCAATTATGGAAAAGAGATTTTCTGTCTACTTGATTGGGTGACCCAGGCATGAGCTGAAATTAGCATCTCATAAAGTTGCTTTTCATTCATTTATTTTCGGAGTATCTTTAGAACTGCTTGCTTGTATCTTTTGGGTCTGTCTAGCATTTTACTTAGGTAGCTTGTGATGACAACTAGCATTTCAAAGTTCCACCCACACTCGTTAATCTCAAGTTAAGCTTCATACTCGAGCAGGAACTTTGCAAAGAGTGTGTGTTCAAAGTGTTGAAATCAGATAACGCTTCCTCAAGTATTCATCCATCACTTCCCGTCACTTTTAATTCTAATTCAGAGTGTGTTTCCAGAAAGGAAATAAAACTGCCCAAGCTTGAAAAATTCTGGACTCTATTCAAATTAGAGAAAAGATAACCAGTGCTATTTTGCAATCTGAAATCTCCCACTTGACTCTCAAGTTGGACTTGAGTCCAGAATGTTTCCCTGTAGAAGCAGAATGGCAAAGATCATCAGGATAAACATCTAAACCAGTTGAGATTTTTAAAAGCCATTTAAAATCATATGCCACGTTGAAAATCTGATCTAAGTTATGGCTTCTCTCCTCAAAAAACAGATCCTACACATACACAGTTTCAAAGTTTTGCATATTATTTCAGGTGACCTTTGAATGCCTCATGGCCAATCGAGTCAACTGGAAGTCCATGAACTCCAGGTTAAAAGCTTTGATTCTAAACACATCCAGTGTTAACTGCCCACACAATACGTTCTGTGCTACAAAGGACACATTTGCACAGGATGAACTAGACAGACAGGAGGCAATTTCACCAATCACGCACCCAGTTAAACCTGGGCAACCCCCTGGAAAATCTGCAGAGAGCTCATTCTTCCCTCAGAAACGTTATGAAAGATGCAGAACTGTGGCCTCCCTCACCCTATAGTACATCAGGTAGGGACCAACAGGAAGGAAACATACAAGAGTGAGACAGAAATAGGCATCATTTCTGTCTTCCTAAAAAGAGTTGTATGAGATTTGGGGAAAAAGAAAAAAAAATAAAAGCTACTGCCTAAGCAGCACAGTTTTCAATTTTCTCCACCCAAGTGGACCATGCCAGACCAAAAAATACATATATACACAAATATATTATATAAAATATATATTACATAATTATTATAATAAATATATACAATATATATTTTAAATATGTATTTAAAAAATATATAACCCAGAAGACAAGGAAATAGAGCTTTCCAAATAGGAGTCTGCTTCTTGAATTCGTTTAAGTTACTGGATTCCAAAGGATTCCAGATCAACAACAGAGAAGAGGCTGACTCTAGGAAGACTTTTCCAAAAACATTTATAATAAAAAGCCTGCTGGAAGTCAAAACCTACCCAGATGGTGGTTCTTACTGGCTCTCCCTACTGCCACCCACTAAGGACGCTTAAGGATGGAATGAGCCGCGCAAGCCCAAGATGCACTTCTTTGTACTGAGCCAGCCCTCCTTGACCTCTGCCCCCCTGCCTGCATCAAGGAGGATTTGCAATCACTCCCTCTCACTGAGTCCCACCTCTCAGTCCAACAGTCACGAGGCTTAAGGACTCTCCTTACTGGATTTGGTAAATACGGTCTATTCAGGAACTTATTAGCACTAACTGTTTCGAGTACACCGTAGGCTGCAGTCAAGTTTCTACCCGATCGTTTTCTTTGACAGTTTTCTTTGCATGAGTTGACTTATTTGGAGCCACCACTGGCCTTCCTGGCCCCTACAGCACATCCCTGACTCTCAGGTTGGCCCTGTTCTCACTCTGCTGGACATCATGAGTCTCTTTCTAAACCACTAAAAGAAACTTACCTAAGTGCTCTGGAAAGAGGAAAGCATAATTCTTTTCTCAACTCAAATCCTGAACTGTTTTAGTTAAGAAAACACACTTAACTAAATCATTCCCTTGATTTCTGAATGGTACACAGGCTCCATGAAGACACGTCCAGCTCTGAGTCCCCAGTAAGTACAGCAATGCCTGGCACAAAGGAGACCTCAAATACTAGCAGAATGAATGGCTAGCTTACTAGGCCTTCCTTCTCATCAATATTACTTCCTAATAGTGGTTACCACTGGATCCCAAGCATTAGAATAGCTTGGTACATAGTAGGTCTTCAAAATATGTTTGCTGACTAACTTAGGCAGGAAAGGTGCAGTCCTTAAAAGATGTGCTAGAAATGTTTATAAAATGTCCTCATTGCCTTTTCTAAAGCACATGTGAAATACTCTTCTACACAGGCTATTAGCAGCTTGACTGCTAATTTCTTCTGGCTCCCATGAGATATATTTTGGCCCGATTTTTTTCTTCGGTGGGAAATGGGACTTGAGGATAGACCTGATCTGCTTCCCACTGAAAGCACTAACAGTTGTGTTGGCCAACATCTGACAAAACTGCATGCCCGGGTGATAACCACCTTCAACGTGGCTACTTTACAAAGGCGGGGAACTCAGGAAGCGGCCGGGAAGGCTTCTCTCAAGAAGGATCGTCTGTGCGATTATAGACAATACAGTGACACCCTCTCCAGAGAGCCAATAGTCTGGGAAATCATGGGCAATTTGAAAACATCTGCTTTTGAAATGTTTCACAGAATCTGCCGGGGATGACCAGAACCCAGTCCTATTTGTACCACCCCCTCAGTAAGATGCTAACTGAAATTTAGAACACCGTTGAGAAAGTAACCTTACATTATTACATCACAGTGTTCAGGAGACTACCCTGGCTTCTGGGCGATGAGGAAGAGAAAAGGGCCCCGTCTTGAGCATGTGCAAGACCAGGACATTTCTGCCACACTCTTTGGAGCTCAGAGTTCCACCCCTCAAGAGTTGTAGCCAGGAAAAGAGAAAATCCACACCATACTGGGAAAATTGCCCAGGAGGCAGATGTCTTGTTTGAGTTCGAATAATCCTCCACAGGAGGAACGCAGCCAATCTGGAAACCTGTTTTAAAACAAACCATAGGGAAAAAGCAGAGAGGGAAGCAAAAACGGAGACAAGAGGAAGATGTCAACACTTTCCAATGAAAGTGAAGCACCAGGGGCCAAACCCCAAGAAATCCAGTGCAATGTTTACATATCTCTGCTCCAGCGGCCCCAAAGTCATGAATTAGCCACATAACCAAGCAAGTATTAAGAGCCTTCCCCTATCGGCTGGGATATAAAACTCTTAAAAAGGTTTAATTTGATCAGATAACTCCTTCAGATACACTTCCTCAGACCAAAAACAAAGGAATTGTTTAGACAATCATGGATGGTGACTATGACTAATAATAATTAAGGACACAATTAAGAACATGAACATAAATCAGGTTAGAACATAAAAATATAAAATGAAGCTGAAGAAAGTAGCAGATGGATGGTATGTGTACACCACCATCCCAATTTACAAAAACAATCTTATCCATAGGTGGGTAAAAACAAGAAGGAAACACGAGAAAATGCGAATAGCTTCCGCACCAGGCTTGAACCATCACATCTCATCAACAAGGGATGTTCTCCTAAAACACTTCCAATAAGGTATTTCTCGTAGATGAAAAAAAAAAATTGCAGGCAGTAGCAGTCAATGCATACAGCGCACTGACACACACCGTAGCCCGCCTCCGCCCCAAATGAGGTCACCACCTTCTATCACAATCAACACACGAGTGCCTAGCACTCGGGGAAGACCAGAGATGTTTTCTGCAAACGCATCGCTATTGGAAAGCACAGTGACTTATTCTCCTTACTGGTAGCAGCGGTGTTCTCCGGGTTGCTAGAGACCGGGGGACTGCCTTGGTCTTGGGTCGGGTGCGCAGTTGGAAGGTGGGTGTGGAAGATACTGTAACCCCCGGAAGTGCTTCTTTCGCTGGAGCCACTGCTCACGTCATCGTCGAGCGTGTTGCTGGGGTTGATGTCCTCGGGGTTCCTTCTGTATTCCCCTTTCTGGCTGTAGCGGGTGCCGTCACGGTTAACGATGGCTGGGAGACAGAGAAGGCACTTTGAGAACTTGCCTGCTGACGTGTCCTGACTATAGGAAAGACTGTGGTTATCATATGAGACAGTGACTTCAAAGCCACTTTCCTTTTTTATTGAGCAAAACAACACAGAGTGGCCGATGCACTAAGGAAATGAACCCTCCCCTACTCACCCTCATACCCTGGAAACGGGGAGAGGGAAGCAGGTGTGCTTGGGAGTCCTCATGTTTGAATCCCAGCTTTGTGTGGCTCTAGACAAGGCAGGTAACCGAGCTTCAGTTTCATCATGTGTAAAATGGGATAACACCACCTTCTGTCGTGAGCACTACAGGAGTCATTGTATGGAAAGTGCTTAACATTGTATCCAAAATACAGTTAGTGCTCAATAAGTGATCATTCTTCCTCCTGGTTCCCACCCTCCCTTCTGAAGTCCATGTGATATTTGTTGTTACTAATTCCACCTATTTGAAAAAGGATTTAAACTAGGAGACAAAGAGGCCAGCAGTCTTTGCAGGGATCAACCAGGCGTTACTGGTTTATCTGTGCTTCGTTTTATTGGGCTTCGCAGATACTGTGTTTTTCATGAATTGAAGATTTGTGGCAACTCTTGTGCTGTCAGATGATGGTTACCATTTTTTAGCAATAAAGTATTTTTAATTAAGGCATGTATGTTTTTAAAACACACTACTGTTGAACACTTGGACTACAGCAGAGTGTAAAAGTAAGCTCTATGTGCACTGGGAAAACAAACAAAATCTTTATCACAGTATTCACTTTATTGCGGTGGTCTGAAACCAAACCCACAGTGTCTCTGATGTATGCTTGTACATTTACAAAGGCACAAAGAATTAGATTTTCTTTCTAAGGTGCCAATTTTGTCAGTTTAAGTGAACTCCTACTGCCGGCTGAGAAATCAGCATGCTTAAATATTGGCAGACCCTCTGCTACCTTCTGTGAAGTTCAACCTGAAATTAAGAAGCACAGATGGACATAAAGATCAAGATCTTTGGTTTAAACAAAGAAATGACTAGAATGACAGGAGGAAGAAAAGCAGGAAGTCGTTCACTGTTCCCCTCTAAAAGTGTCTGCTGCCTTCAAGTGTGGGTCCCTCAATGCACAAATGTGCATTTAGCTGAAATGATTTTCTGCTACATTGCACTGGTAGGGCTAAAGATTATTTTTGTCCACCTATCTTGCTTGCCCAAGTGGAACTGTTAATAAAACATATATTAAAAGTATCCCAGAGTCTCAATCACTCTGATAATCTCTGCAGATGAAGATCTGATAAGGAAATAGGACCAACCTTGAACAGGTCTGGACTTTGATAAAGATCTACAGGGATTGAGAAAATGGGGCACTTCTTGAGCATCTGCCACAGGCCAGGCAGGCATCAGACACATTATCTTTCCTAATTTTCATGACAAACCTCATTTGTTGTTCCATTAGCCAGATGAGAAAACTGAGGCTAGGAAAGAGTAAGTCATCCCTCTAAGATCAGCCAGATGGTAAAAAACTAGGATTTCAAACCAGCCTGATGTAGCCAGAACATCTCACACTGCAAGCCTCCTCTTCCTTTTGCAAAGTATAGGTCAGGGGCAATCCCTTATATAATAGTGGAGGTGGGGAGGAGGGGCTGGATTTCTGTGGTCCAGAAAGATTCTAGTCCCCCTGCCGCCACCACCACTGTCCCTATGCACACCAAGGGGTCTGGCTCTTAGGAGGCAGAAATCGAGTCTCCTCATCACTGTGATGCTTCTCAAAAAATGAGGCTCAGAGGCAATCAGATCAGGGTTAATAGAGTGACCTATTCAAAAGTTCTGGCTGAAATACTCTGTTTGCTGAAGTGCCAAATGCCTACTTCTGGGGATAATCAAGATGATTTTTAGGTTGACATGGTGTAAATAATGTTGAAACACGTAGCAGGAAGGTTGTACACTGATAAATGTATTATCATTTCTCAACAATCCAGTTAAATCAAACAGAAACTCTGTGTGGAATGCCCCCTACCCCTAAAACTTATTAATCCCCCTTCCCTGAGAGAAAGCCTAGAGTTCAGACTCAGAGCCTTCAGCAGCTAGAATTTAAGAACATTATTGAATTTTTCCTACGTTTAAATTAGGTTACCTTCTATTTATGATCAGGATGTTGGTTTTCCATTTGCAGTTTTTGAAAAATGTATTTTAAGTAGAAAAGAATGGGTCAATTAAATGAAAAATACCAAGTAAATGACAGTGCCATGTCCACAGAGATGCAAAAAAAAAAAAGTGCAAGTTTTCAAATGACTAAAGTTTGAGGAACAAAGAATTGGGGTAAACCAGATAGCAGTTTCAAGTCACTGAAGGAAAAGGCGAAGGGATGGTAAATCATAGTCAGTGTCCCTAGTCATAGGGAAATGAGTGCTATTCTTTTCAAATACAAAAGACAGGAAATGCACCTGATCCTTTGCCCAAGAGCGGGGAAACTCATTCAAGGTTAGAAGAGATACGTACTGATGGTAACTTGTCCTTCAAAGGCACTGGGCAGCTCTGTGACTGACGTACAATCTTCTCCAGGTGGAGCTAGAGGTAGACAAGAAAAAAAGGCATGAGAACACTAAAAATATGAGCATAATTAATGTCCATTTCTATTATGACAAGTTTCTGAAGCTTGATTAAGTCTCCTAAGAAATTCTCTGAACTTTGTGATGCATTTTTCCACTTTCATTTCACTTTGTACACTTTTGGAAGCTTATCTGTTCCTCTTCCCAAGCCAACAAATCCATTCATTAACCAATGTATATATTCCACACCAGGGGCTGTGGGAGGCTGGTACGGAATAATAATAAGACAGACATGGTCCTTCTCTAATGAGGTGTATGTTAGGAGTTATCTTTTAAAAATTTGTTATTATAAATGTCATGTTAAAATAAAGAAGTGTATGAACTATAATGAGGAAATCATGTGTAATCCCAATAATATATAGAAATGATGGGACAACATGGCCAACAAATGTAATCAAATGCTTATCAACATGAACAGCATGAGAATCTGAAGATTAAAATAATCAACAAAGAATTTAGGGGTAGCAGAATTTTTCAAAAACCAACCTTTTGTCTTTTTATTAATGCATTAAATAATTTATTTAACTAAAATCCTTAAGTGCCTACTCTGCAGACTGCTTCTCACCAAGTAGTTTCTGAGGTTGTCCACCTTTGGTCTAGGTGTTCACATCACCTCCGGGGACCACTGCTTTGGCAAATCTCACCATGGGTACCTCTGGCTTCTTTGTCTTTTGTCCTCTTCTACTTTCCCTCTTCTTTGGGAATAAAAATTTCTGACTGTACGCTGGGCCTGCCTGACTACCCATAAATGTTACGAGCAGTGATTTGAGAAGCACTGTCTAAGGCCCTCTGAAAGCAGACCTGGAGGTTCTACCCTGCCTGCCCTCCCTTGAGTCCTAAAGGAAGCCTGTAGGATGCTTTAACCAATCGTTCCATTCATGCCCAAATGCTCTAGTCCGTAACTGCACCTTGTGTTGAGTACTACAAACTCAAAGCGCTTTGAACTGGCTTTGCAGTTATAGAAAGGTTGGATTCATTTTTGTATGACAGCTATTATACCGTGTGTGTGTGTGTGTGTGTGTGCTTTAATGTAAAATGGAAACATTTGTTAGGCTAATTTCTTCTAGAGTTGCTTCTTGGCAAAGAGGAAAGAACAAAAAGGGATGGATGGATGGACAGATAAATGGATGGACAGGTGAATGGATAGAGGGCGGCGGGCAGGCAGATTGCTATCACAAGGAAGTCTGGCATCATAAGTATTTGAAAGGTCCTGCATAAATCGCTGGGTGCTCATGACATTGGACAAAAACACAATTTGAACAAAACAGGGTTTGATCGCTTTCCAGTTCCTAGGAGCATCTTTTCCCACAGATACAAGGGATGTCCTTTACCTGCTTATCCTTTTGTCTCACGGTAAAAGTAACCAGCAGCTTTATATATTCAACTGGAGAAAAGTAGGTTTTAGAAATAGCCATTCTTGCATGGGCTGATTAAAAGATTTTTCAAAAGAGAGACTCTTCAAAGAGAAAGTCACCTCCTTGGAAAGACCATTCCTCACCATCCAATCCAGAAGAGCCCCTCGCATCTCCCCAACACCCATCACCATTACATACTTGTTCTCATTTATTCTTCTTCGGGCTTACCTTTGTCTGAAATTATCTTGTTCATTTTACGTGACAGCACATCTCCCATCCCCTTACCCCTGCTACCCACCCATTTCCACAGAAATACGTAAGCTCCCCAAGATTAGTAGTAACTGTATCTGTCTTGGCTGGAACATGTATGTGTGATGGGGACAGAGAGGCACTCAAATATTCGCTGAACGAATAACAAAGAAAAAAAGTACCAATGTAATTTCCCAACAGTCCATCCTTCCAGTAAATGTACCTGAGATGTTAAGCCCCCAAAATGGTCTGCAACTATAAACAGGTCAAGAAACATTCAGATAAACCCTGAATGGCAATGCCATAAGAAATTAAGTTTCAGATCCATCTGTTCCTTTATTCATATCAAGCATTTACTCAACACATATGAGAGATCACATTACAAACAAGGAGCAAAAGATGAATGTTTCTTGTCCCTGTTTTGGAGGAATTCACAGGTCATGGGGGACATTTCTTTACATTTTTACAATTTTCAAAAAATGTTCCCAAAGATTCCCTCATTTGAAAATCAGGGCCAACAGCCAACCTGGGAGGTCTTGAAGAGTATCGACCTGCTCTGTTTCGGGGATACCACCCGAAATTGGCCTGACTTGTGAGATGTTTCTGGTACTGTTATGCTGCAGAGACCCAGAAACAGGTCTTTGGAACATGACTTCTTAATGGCAGGGATGGAATAACCTCCCCGAAATTCAAATACAACTGCTGGTAACAGCAGTGCCCTGGGAATTTCCAGGAATGAAGTTGTAATAGAATGAAGCGTGATGTCAAAAACACTGAGAGAGTCTTGCAAATGATTAAAGCATTTGTTCAAATGGCGCCCCTTCACGCTCCAATTCACCCTAACTTTTATAAAGAGCATCAAAGCTGGCAAGCAGACTAAGATGGATGCTGACCCAAATGTGCAATTCATACATTCATGCTCCCATGTCGGACAGCAGGGCCTCCCTGGACAGCCTTTCATTCTATTTAACGAGCACTGCACGGCTGGGACAATCAGGCGTGGTGAGGTTTTCCCGAAGCTAAAGATTTGTTAGAAAGACTCTGACGTGGGCTTCCTGGTGGGCTGCATCTCAGAGACCAAGACCACCACATCAAAATGGCCAAGAGAAATGTTAATTACTCAGTCTAGCCAACCACTCAGTGACAGGTAGAAAGACACCTTCCTCGACGCCTAATGCACTCAGGGTATCCAACACATTGAATAAATGAGCGAATGAATAAACAATCTTCCCCTAAATTTCGCCTTCCAAAAAGAATGAGGCATTTTACTGAAAGTACAATGAACTAATGACAATGAACTAATTTAGGTCAGTTCTCTGTGTTAACACAAAAGTCACCAAGCTTGTACTGGGCCTGACCGCTGAGAGAAGGGGTAATAAAAAACCATGAAGCCTTTTCAGGGTCTGCCTTATTTTCATTTGTAAACCTCAGGCTGTGTTTTACAAAAATACTGCTGAAGTTGTAAGCTTCTGGGAGCCATCTGCTAAGATGGAGCTGGCTCTGGTCACTGTAGCCGGTTTGTGGGGGATCACATCCCAAGGTCCTGACACCTGCTTGGAGGTCTCAGGCTAAGCTGGAGTCAAGGACGTTTCTAATGTGATCCTTGGCAGAGAGCAGAAAATTATCAGGATCTGTAGCTCACTTAACACCCCCATTATCCAACTCTAAACCAAGACATTTAGAATTTATTTTTCCTTGGATAAACGTTCTTCCTTGGCCCTTTATTTTCCTCTCATTTCTTCAACAACGTGAGCTCCCAAGACAAGAAATATGGCCTCTGGTTCCTTCTCACTCCACTCTGCCCAGCACGGTACTGAGCGCATGAAAGTGATCAATAAACAATCTTTTTAAAACGTATCAAAATTTGATAAAAGCACTCTAACCATACTGAGTAAATCCGGACAAGAGAAAAGGAAAACATCACTTCAAACTTTACTGCTTTACTGCAGCTAATCTGGTATGCAACACCCCCGGCCAGGACTTCTCAAGTCTTCAGCGGAACTAACCTCCCCCAAAAAGAGAGAAGTTAATGAGCACTGTTCACTCTCTTTTCTGAAGATGGGCCCAATCTTATGAGCAAAAATGAGGGCAGGGAGAAAAGTCTCAGCAGTAACTTGTCTAGATGGCTTCAACTTCAGGCAATAAAACAGTGTGAGCTTCTAACTTTTTGAGTGAAGGCTGTCTCCAGCAAGGGATACCAACTTGTAAAACAGGTGAGACAACGAGCATACACAACAAGGTAACCAACTGCACACATTCACTCCAGAAGGTTCAGTGCGGGGAGCAACAGGCAGTGCCCAGAGGCTCTGGAGAGTCCACAGTCCCCAGCCAGCCCTTCCCACGTGACCAACCCCTTCACCTAAACACAAAGCCTTCCCAAAGGCCTCCTCTGTCCTCTGAGATTAAGATAAGCTAACAAGACCACATGTTGCTTTGTGTCTATTTCCTGTTTATTTGCTCGTGGTTCTTCTCATTATCATGTCATTAGAACGGACATTCTGTGTGGGTATGGGGACTGGGTATCAATCACATATTGTTAAGCCTCAGGTAGACTCTCCTCCTTTTGCTCAAACTCCATTTGTGTTCTTTGCTTATACAGCAGGAAAGAGTAAACACTCTGCAGTTCTCTCCTCCTTGTTTTGAGTGTCTCTCCACTGGTTCAGTGACCTGTACATATTTGACATAATTTGCTAGCACATCACACACTCCATTTCAACTAACCAGCCCTGATACTCTCTCTTTCTCCTAAACTCTAGATTTCCTTTCTGAATTCCCACTCTGATTCCTACTACTCACGCAATAGTGGGTGGGTGGTATAGCCAAAAGCTACAGATGTAATCTCATAATTTCTTTGATGTGTTTATTTAACCTTAAAACTTCATGCAGATTTTTTTAACATTTTTTATTGAGCTATAGTCATTTTACAATGTTGTGTCAAATTTTATACTCTACTACCATATATAATATCTGTGTGTGTCTCATAAACGCCATGTCGTAAGTCATCACATAATAACAGCTGTGTCTCATGCAGATAATGTCTTAAGTCATTTTCTAGCTAATTTAACACCCCCTTCCCATGTTTAAAGAAATTCACACATCCAGATGCGTCAAGTCTACCTTAAGACTTCATCTTCCCCTTCATACAATCTTAAACCTTCAGGGGGAACAGAAGGCCCAGTTTGAGAAGTAAGACATTTGATCGTTGGCATTCAAAAATTTTTCATTGATGGATTTAACTCTCCACAAAAGACCCTAAAGACCCACGATGGATAGAATTTTAAAATTGTGCTGGGGCCTGAGTTAGGCTTGTAAGCATGAGCTTCCAGGCTAGTGGTTGGAAGCAAACCCTTCGCCCAAGGAGGGGGCCTGACCAGCAGCCCACCACGCACAACCTAACTGGCCATCTTATTCTCTAGTTACTGGGCTTTCAATTGTTAGGTAAGGACACTCAGCAAGGTCAGAGGCCTAGCAGCCTTCTCTCCAGCCCCCACAGACAATAAATGCCTCTAAGCCAAGCCATTTGGCTTACGCCCCAATGCTACCATTAGATGGATGTCACTTCCTTATTCAAACCCTGCAGTGACTTCCCATCACACTGAGAATACAGTCCAAACTCTCTACCATGGCGTGCAAGGCCCTGTGTGATCTGGCACCTGCTTACCTCTCCGCCCTGGCACTCTTCCCCCTGATCCCTGGGTTTTATCCACCACGGCCTCCCTGCTCTTCTCAGAACAGGCCACGATGCTCCCACGTGCCTGGCTTCGCACTGCTGTCCACCGTACTGTGGCTTCCCTCTCTCGCTCCGATCAGCCTGCCCTAAACCCACTCCCCCTATCTTCTCAGAAAAGACGCCTCCTTAGCCTCGTGCGGTCCCTTGCTCTGTTTTCTCTTTTATAACCCTTGTCACTCTCTGACTTCATGTAAGTTACGTAACATTTATTTGTTTACTGCTGGCCCCCCCCCAATGTAGCAGGTAAGCACCCTGGAGACAGGAATCTTTTTCCTGCTGGAGAGACACTCAGTGAGCCTCTGCTATGTGGATGGAGGCCACAGGAATTCCCACGTTAAGTGGAGATTGTCAGCCACGCTGCGGAAGGCTGGCTGGTCAAGGAAACCCAAAACACAGAGCCAGTCCACCTGGAACCAACCTGAAGCATTGAAGCAATACGTGTCGTACTGGGAGGTATTGGACGTGAGGACATACACCCCTGTGTTGTTGGCAGCACAGATGGAATTGGGGTGGATCCGGGGGATCACCACGTGCCCATCTATGAACCCATACCTGCAAAAGAAAAACCAGAGGTTATCCACCTGCAAGGCTGCAACCAGGGATTTCACAATATCCCGCTGAGTGACATCGCATGCCGTGCAATCCTTGCTTCAGTTCACCCCTAGGGATGTTAGCGGTTTCGACAATTGAAGTAAATGAAAGCCAAACATAACAGCAGAGGGGCAGTCAAAGGGATCAACAAGGCTGATGGAGACAAAGTGACTTTTTTAGAGCTCTATAAAAAAGCGTAAAAAAAGAAACAGATTCATGAAGAAAAAAAAGTTAGTTTCAAATAAAATCTGTGGTCAGCAGTCAGGCTGGTCTGAACAAGCAGAGGGAAGCCCAAGTCACAGAAGACAGAACGACCCCTTTATGATGTGAGACCCACTCTGGCTCTCCATTTCCTTCCTATTTTCCAGAAAATACAGAAAATGACTGGCTCCCATGAGGCGGGAGTAAGTGGCTCTTCATTTCCGTCCACGGATGTCAAACCTGCCTTATTTCCCATCCGCTCCTCTTCTTCCCTGGCCTCGCCTTTTTCTTCGTTCCCCTTGTTCCAGACCTCGTTGCTCTAAACACGAAGTCTTATTATATAAACAGATTCAGTGCATCTTGCCTTGTGAGCATCCAGGGCATAATTCCATTGCCAGTGGAAGTCAATTGACCATCATTAAAATGGGAGTAATAGTGATTAAATAAGTAGATGGCAATGTCTCATTAGCTCAGGAATTTTCCAGAAGCAGCAGTCAGAGAAGCGCTTAAGCCCCTCTGCCCCATCATGGTGTTTCTAGGAGCCTGTTGGAGCGGGAAGCCCTTTCAGATACAACACACAGCACCCAGCCTCTTCCACTAGCATCATGGTGGCTGAATACTCACTGCATGAATTCTCTAGGATTAAAAAAAAATGCGTCAAAAAATGAGATATGAGCTGAGAAAATACCATTTGCAAGGGAAGAGCAGAGAGGGAGAAGCTAAATCCAACAGGTTTTTGAAAATGCAATGCTGGCTAAAATGCGCAGCCCAAATCCTTTAAATCTTTCCTGCCAGGGGCGACATACTGCATCACCCTGCAAGACCCATGGAAATGGCTGTGAGTTTGACATTTCTAAGTACTTAGAACTCATTATGTCTACGTTGCAAAAGCTGGCATGACTCATTCCTCATCTGAATGGCCAGACTGGTTTCTCCAAAAACTCCTGAGTTTGGAGGGGGAGGGGGCGCAATTAAATGTTAATACGTTTCCTTATATCTGAGAATTGCTACTAATCAGGGTGGGGCAGACAGAAGAGAGTAGCTGCTAAGGTTTTACCATCACCTGTGAGACTCTCCCATCTGTCCTCCGGCGGGTATCTGATTCATAGCTACCTGAGTGAAATTATGGAAATGAATTTTGCAACACTTAAAACCAGCTATGGGTGGAACGATAGAATTCTTTGGCACAGTTTTTCTTTTTTCTTTTTTAAATACTAATACCCCTTGGTGAGCCTGCTCCCCATCCCATTTTCAGCTAGTCCATGTAACACTGAGGTGCCAGAATCTGTAATTCCTTTTGTAAATTATCTCTCAGTTTTTGCCACACATCATGTCAACCGCCAGTTTTATGAGTCGCCCTGCCCCTGAGTTGGGGATTATTACAATTTATAAGTGTGTATACAGCAGGAGTGGGTTGCTGATCACAGGAAGGAGAGAAATACTCAGCAAATCCATCCAGCAGCACACTTCCAATTTCCTTTTGCTCTCAGTCCTTGGGGAAGGCTGGGTCATTAAATCTTGCCCTGGGCTCAGAAGCAGGTCTGGAATCCCTACTCCTCCCCCGCAAGGGATGTGGCCCTGAGTGGGCTGCAGAAGGAAGCCTCAGTTGCTTCCTCTAGAAAGTGGATAATAAAACTGACCCATGGTGCAGTCTGAGGACTGAGTGAGGGACGTGGGCAGTCGGGCCGGGGGGTGCCCAGGATCTAAGCGCTCGATGATTGGCCAGTGGGCATTGTAAGAACTTCCCTTGTTTTCAGCATAGGAAACATTTCTGTATTTCATAAGTTTGTCTTGTCTGCATTTCACAATCAAAATTCAGCTTACTAAATCCACTTTCTTAGGCGACTGGCCTCTCAGGGCTGTATTTAAACAATTAGCCTTGGGAATAGAACAAATGGATCTGCTAATTAGCTTTCCTTCACTGCAGCCTACAGCTCAGGAGCAGTAGCTACCAGAGCGGTCCATTCCTTTAATTTTCTCCCAGACCTAGCTCTGAACACTTGTCTGCACACCTCGGCTCTGTTTTACAGCAGTGCTGCTCAACAGAATTTTCTGTGATAATGGAAATGTTCTCTAATCGATGTTGTCTGGTAAGAGTAGCCACTAGTCATTTATGACTAATGAAGCACTTGAAATGTAGCTCATGCCACTGAAGAATTAAAGTTTTGATTTTATCTAATTTTAATTAAGTGTGAACGTGGCTAGTGGCTACCACATTAGTGTAATTGTAAAGATTTTCCTTTTCCTTTTCAGCAGAAGAGTCTCATCTCCCATCCATACTCTGGCTGCCTCACTCTGTAACCAAGGACAGGGGATAGGTGTATTTAACTTACGTTTAATGGTTTCTGTAAAGAGTTCTGCAGCTTGACTTTTTAAAAAGCAGCCTGGTTGCGTATGTGTGCATTAAAGAAAAAAAGGGAACCAAGTTACCTAAGGACATCACATTGCAAAAGCACAGAAGGGCAGCTGCAGGCTGGGGTGGAAACTTCGGAGCAGTCACTCAGATTCCCCAGAGCTCTTCTAACAAAAACAAACCAGACCAAAACACTTCACCACGGTGGTCACCACTGCTCATTCCTAATGTGCACCACTCACCACAGGCCATCAGAAATTCAAAAATAAAAAAAATTTAAAACAAAGAAGGGCCACGCCTGCTGTGAATGTCCTCGAGCAAAAGGCCCGGCGAGCAGCTCCATGAGCACGGTGATATCCGGTCAGAGGCCTCCTGTCTTCCTCTGATCACTTGCAATAATACATCGGATAGGTCATTACAAGCTATTGAACTGTGCTCTATAGGAGGACACTGTGTTTATCTATGTATGCAGAACTGAATCACTGTGCTGTACACCAGAAGCTAACACAACATTGTAAATCAACTGTACTACAATAAAAACAAATGAAATAAAAACAGACTTAGAGGAAAAAGAATATATCTTAATAATTTCCATGTCCTTCTCTCTCAAAATACAGCAACACAGAAGAGAAACGAAATAAAGAGAGTTGTTAGAAAAATCTGCTTTAGCCAAGTCTGCAGGGTCAAGACTCCACCAGGCACATATTTATTTTAAACACTGTTATTTGCTTTCCGTGTTCTTGTGGTTCCGACAGTGGTATAATATTGCACGCTTCTTCAAAGCCCGGAGAGAGCGCTGTGGAAGCACTTCAGGCAAGTGGATTCCAACCCATGACACGTAATGGCCTCCTCTGGGCAACCCCGCCCTGATTCACAAAGTGTCTCTAGCCGGCCTCAGATTTTAGTCTTCGTACAGGTTCCAAATGGACGTGACCAAGTTAATGGGCGGGGCTGACTCTTCAGGCAACCATCCATTCAGCTGTCTGGGAGGGGCCTTCCCGGCTCTAAGCCCCGCCCCCTGCACCCAGGCTGCCAGCCTTCAGCAGAGGGTGGGCGCTAGTCTCTCACCTGCAGGTCTCAAACCCTTTGTTCCGGGCTGCCTCCATCTGGGCCATGGTGGGCAGAGTGCTGTTGAAGGCCTTGCAGAGGTCAGCAGCCTCAGTCTTCGAGATGCTGTAGCGACCATTTTTCTCCACGTGGAACACACCTGCGTAGCGGCAGGTTATATTCAGATCTGCGGGATGAAACGGGAAACGTTAGAGTCTTCTGCATCATTAATTTGGAAAGGGTTAACAAGTCTGCTTTAGAGCAACCTCATTAAAATGCCAAATGATCTTCCCTACTGGCCAGAGCCTTCAACATTCACGGCAGCATTTCAAAGCACCACTAGCTCAAGCTCAAATGTGCGGTAAGAGGTAAGCCTCCGTTAAAGCAGCATCGCTCTTACAGTCTCTCCACCGACAGCTCCACAACAAAGTTTGTTAAAAGCGGATGATTTCTTTCTGGTTAGGAAAGTGATACAAACTTATGGCAAACCTACGAAATTCAGGGAGGTAATGAAGAAATAGCAACTTCACCTCTAAGAAGACTACTGCAAGCATTTTAAACATTTTCCTGTATCTTGTTTCAGTCTGTTTTCTGAATGTGTGTGTGTTGTATGTGTGTGTGCGCGCTTGTATAGTTTAAATATACAATTTTAGCTGTGGGAAACTTTTTTCCCCACTTAATCTTACATTATGAATATTTCCCCACCATCATGTGATGTTGCTCCCTGGCTGATAACCTCCAATGGCTCCTAGTTGGACCCAGAATAAATGTCCTTATCATGGCTGATAAGACTTACATGATCTGGCTCCTCGCTCCCCCTCTAACCTTTAAGTAGCTCCCTCTGCTCTAGGCACAAAGCTTTCCTTCAGTTCCTTTGGATGTTCTGAGCACTTCCCCACCTTAGAACATTTATAGCCATCTTCCCCTATCTATATCTGTCTGGAATGTTCTGTCCTCCAATCGTCCTGTTTTTGTTTTTCACCTCCACATTGCCTCATGGTAGGATCGTTTCTTGAACATTCTTATCCAACCCTCAGCATCTCCCTCACCTTGCCCTGCTTTTGTGTCTTCACAGCAACTCGTTTGTGATTTATGTACCTAGTTATTTTCCGTCGGCCCTTTCTGTGATGAAAGCCTCAAGGAAGCAAGGGCCTTTGCCCGTTTACAGCTGTTTCTTTAACACTCAGGACCATGGCTGACAGAGAGGGGATGCTCAGTAAGTATCTGCTGAGTAAATAAACAGCTCATTGGAATTTCCTCAAAAACACACTTTGAACATCTGACAGACTGACCCAGGACTTGTTCTTTCCTCCCAAGAGTTAACTGCATCCAAAATGAAACCTAACTGCCACCAACCAGTTAAAAAATGATTTAGTCCTAGGACTTCTGTGAGTTCTGCAGACACGAATCTGAAATCTCAATAAGGAGCTAGGAGAAAAAAAATCACCTGACCCTATGTAACAATCTCAGAAGACTTCAAAGACCTTCAGTGAAAACTTGTTATTCTTCTGTATTACGCCCGGTTTGCACTAGAGTAAATGCCAACACAGAAAGGCTAAGTCCTTGAAGCCATCTTGGTGAAGTGTCAGCACTTCCTTGAGCTTCGGGGACAGTCCTTCTCTAAGGAAGCTCACGGGCGTTGACTCTGGGCCCACCACATGGTGGCCCACGTGCCAGGACCGACACCACTCCATCAGTCCCAAGCCAGGTCTGGATTCAGTCAGAACTGGCTTTAACTCAGACTCCCCCCCTCACATGGGCACGTCCAGAGGTAGCCAGGAAGATTCTGCTTAGTGATCAATGAAAGAACTGAGGCTCAGAGAAGTGAGTTGCCCAAGGAAGTGAGAATTGCTGTCTGGAGCCTGGAGTTGCCTTCCTGAATCCCAGTGGCTTTGTTCTGCGTTACTGTGCTGACAGACAGGGGAGGGGAGGAGGCCTGTGACTGCAGCATCCCTGGGTACCCAACACTTTTGGGGTTCTATGTTGTACCATCTTCCAAGAACCCTAAGAAGCATCTTTTATGTATGTAGGTATGTACTCACAGGTAAAAAAACTGAGACTCAGAAAAGTTCAATGACTTTGCAAAGTCACCCAGTTACTTAGTGGCAGAGCTGGAAATCCATTTCAGGTCTGTTTAACACCAAAAGCCACGCTCCAATCCACTCTGTTATGTGACAAGGATCCTTTCGTATCATTAGAGCAAGTTCTCTCTCTGGAGGGGAGAGACAGACCTAAACAAACTAAACTTACATAACGACAAAGATAGGGTCCGTGGTCTGAAATTGTACAGCCAACAACTGCTTTCTCCTTTCTGGCAGGAAGCAGGTTCCAACCACTAGAAAAGTGTCTGACAAATGCAAACCGAGATGATAAGAGAACAGTTAAATTTCTGTACAGCTTTTCTGGATGCTGAAAATGATAAAAGAAGAAACAAGAAACGGAGCTTTGAAAAGACATAAGCCAGTATCAAGTAATTTTCTTTTCTTTGTATCATTAGCATGCAGGTGCCTTTTAAAAGCATCAGAACTGGGTGAAATGGAGAAAATGTGTTTGGGGACAATTAATTCCTTTTTGGGTCTAATTCCTTTTTGGTGTCCTTCTAAATCCACCGGCACAATACTTGGCTGATGAGGCAAGGGGAACACAGAGCAGGGAAATGTACACAGTCCTTCTGAAATACTGTTTGTTTTTACTGACATTTTCAGCTCTGGTCTCGGTCGGCTTATCTTTGCCAAAGGAAACTGTCACGCTGGGTGACCGTCCTTCCGGGCACCCTCCATGTCTTGCTTCCAAAAGAAAAACAAAGCCTCCTGATCAGCTTCTCGGAGGTGAGGCTGACTGCAGAGACTTCAGCAGATGCCAGGAGAGGCAGACCTCCCATCAGTGCAGGGTCAGGTGGCCGCTGTCACTCCCAGGTTAAAAATAAAGTCTGAGGCATGGACGGTGGTTTGGAGCTGAACGGCAGTTTCTGTCTTGTTAAAATGAAGTTGAGTTTGCCACCTGCCACACAAAATATGCAAATGCAAAAAGAGCCAATTCTGACTGAGACTTTTGAGTAAAATCCCTTGAGTTCCGTGGGCAGCAGCCAACATCACTTGATAGACAATACACACACGCATGTGTGTGTCTCTGGGTGTGCCCGCAAGCAGCGAGTGCATGTTGTGCATGCCTGTGGTCAGCCAAGACAGGAAGGGACAGATAAACTCAAGCTTCAGCCTTCCTGGACTGCGAGGCTTAAACAGATGGTCTAGCACGTTTCAGAAAAGGGCTGCTGAATGAATGAAGAAATTCTATGTGATGTGAGACTTCCACAGCTTACATTTCTTTTCATTTCACAAAAAAAGGTCCGATTTCTAACCCTGATGGCACTGAGCCATCTAGGAATTGCAAAGATGTTGCCAAAAGCTTTGTTTCAGGTCAACTGTCTGTGAGTGTTCACAGTTCCTCCCCTCTGGGTCCCTCGTGTCTTAAAAGGGACCAAGGCTTCAGGGCTGCATATCCTTTAAGTCCCGATAGTTGCTGAAGTCTTTCCAAAAGGCTTCCTTAACACTTACGCAAATGGAAATTATTACCCCAAAGGGTACTAACAACACAGCAATAAGAGCAACTAGTGCATATTGTACACTTATCATGTGTATGACAGGCACTCTTCTAAGCATTTTCCGAGTATGAACTCATTTCATCCTTAAAACAGCCCCAAGAGGTAGGTAATTTTATTATCCCCATTTTCCCGATACAGAAACTGAGGCACAGAGAAGGGTAGAAACGTGGCCAAGTTCACAGAGCCAGTGATGAGAGAGCCAGCCAGTCGGGGCCTCAAGAGCCCACAGGCTCAGCCGCCAGCTACCACTCCTCACCCCGATTCACGTAACTTTGTGTTCCGTTTTAATCTCCCCGGCGTAGAACATTCCCGAGGTTTGAGTAAAGAGTAGGGCCGAGGCCTGAGTAGCCGTGGACCACAGATCACTGGATGGACACCTGTGTCCCCGGGAATGGCCTGGAACACACAGCAAACCCCCGCAGAGAGGCAGGGCTCCCCAAGATGTCTGTGTGTCTCTCCTGAGAAACAAGGACCTCTGGGCTCCGGGATCTGCTGGTTCTCAAGAGCCTAATACTAAACAGCCGATCACATCTCTCAAACAAGCCTCTCCAACTGGACGTGGATCAAGAATGTGTTCCGTTGAGGCCTCTGGTCTCCACTAAACTCCTGTGTCATGTAATAAAGGCATACTCCCACGGTCCTCCTCGGAGAGAGCCAACGGGCAACAGTGACTGTTGGAGGCCGCTTTTAGATTCAGGGTGGGGCCCCTCCGGAGGGAGAGTGTCGGTTGCCATCAGGTTTGCCAGGAGGGCAGAGGCGTCATGGGCCCAGCACCCAGGGCTCTCACTGCCCACATGGGACGAGGTCTGCCGGTGACCTGCTAGGAAGACCACAAAAAGCAGCTCTCTAAGAGAGCATCCTTACGGCTTCACCCACTCTCTAGCACCAACTTACCTTAACCTCTATGACACTGAGCCTTCCCTTAATGGAGGACAGGACTGCCCTGTCAGGGCTTGTGGGACTGTGAAATGAGCTAAGGCATGTCGGACACTTGATGAAGCGTTTGGCACTTAATTAGAGCCAATGGGCGTTGCATACTTATTAGGTGGCTGTACACTTCAGCTAAATTAATTCCCACAAAAATGCTATGGACTCTGAAAAAACAAATGCTCAGGAGTAGGCACTACGGCCAAACCTGTCTTAGAGACAAGGAAACTGAGGCACAGAGAGGTTAAGCGGCTTGCCCAAAAGTTATCTAAATGGGAGAGTCAGCGTTCTAACTTCTGCTATGTTGCCAATTATGCAGGGCTCTGGGTGAATTCATTCTCACTTGGGCAAACCATAGTTGACCAGTAACACCAGCCATCTACCTATATGTTCCACTAAGCCTCACATCAAGGAAAATAGATCTGTCTAGTGAAATTGCCCTGGCACATTTCAAAACCTTCCCTAGGCCCTGAGATGAATCGCTTCTGGGTGTGCTCCAGTCACTTTGCAAGTGGTGGAAAATCACCACGTCTGCTGAGAGCAGAGCACCGCGTCATTTGTACTTAACTTGCCATTATCTACGAGTTTCCAAACTTTCCTGAGAGGTGAACAGGGCTGGGGGCGGGGGTGTCACACAACTGACCAGTGGAGCTGAGTGA